TTCTTAATTACCGCTAGCTGCAAGCGTAATGCCAAATTATTTCTTTGAGTTTTAGTTAAAAAACAAAGATAAATAAAATGACGAAACAAATAAAAAATAACTTCATTTAATTAAAAAATGTTTGGGCGTAATTCAAACCACTGTTTGGTGATTGTTTGTGGTGCGTGTACTTATTAAGGTATGTTTGTGGTGGGTGTACTTATTAAGGTATGTTTGTGGTGGATGTACTTATTAAGGTATGTTTGTGGTGGATGTACTTATTAAGGTATGTTTGTGGTGGATGTACTTATTAAGGTATGTTTGTGGTGGATGTACTTATTAAGGTATGTTTGTGGTGGATGTACTTATTAAGGTATGTTTGTGGTGGGTGTACTTATTAAGGTATGTTTGTGGTGGGTGTACTTATTAAGGTATGTTTGTGGTGGATGTACTTATTAAGGTATGTTTGTGGTGGATGTACTTATTAAGGTATGTTTGTGGTGGATGTACTTATTAAGGTATGTTTGTGGTGGATGTACTTATTAAGGTATGTTTGTGGTGGATGTACTTATTAAGGTATGTTTGTGGTGGATGTACTTATTAAGGTATGTTTGTGGTGGGTGTACTTATTAAGGTATGTTTGTGGTGGGTGTACTTATTAAGGTATGTTTGTGGTGGATGTACTTATTAAGGTATGTTTGTGGTGGATGTACTTATTAAGGTATGTTTGTGGTGGATGTACTTATTAAGGTATGTTTGTGGTGGATGTACTTATTAAGGTATGTTTGTGGTGGATGTACTTATTAAGGTATGTTTGTGGTGGATGTACTTATTAAGGTATGATTGTGGTGGATGTACTTATTAAGGTATGTTTGTGGTGGATGTACTTATTAAGGTATGTTTGTGGTGGATGTACTTATTAAGGTATGTTTGTGGTGGATGTACTTATTAAGGTATGTTTGTGGTGGATGTACTTATTAAGGTATGTTTGTGGTGGGTGTACTTATTAAGGTATGTTTGTGGTGGGTGTACTTATTAAGGTATGTTTGTGGTGGATGTACTTATTAAGGTATGTTTGTGGTGGATGTACTTATTAAGGTATGTTTGTGGTGGATGTACTTATTAAGGTATGTTTGTGGTGGATGTACTTATTAAGGTATGTTTGTGGTGGATGTACTTATTAAGGTATGTTTGTGGTGGATGTACTTATTAAGGTATGTTTGTGGTGGATGTACTTATTAAGGTATGTTTGTGGTGGGTGTACTTATTAAGGTATGTTTGTGGTGGGTGTACTTATTAAGGTATGTTTGTGGTGGATGTACTTATTAAGGTATGTTTGTGGTGGATGTACTTATTAAGGTATGTTTGTGGTGGATGTACTTATTAAGGTATGTTTGTGGTGGATGTACTTATTAAGGTATGTTTGTGGTGGATGTACTTATTAAGGTATGTTTGTGGTGGATGTACTTATTAAGGTATGTTTGTGGTGGGTGTACTTATTAAGGTATGTTTGTGGTGGGTGTACTTATTAAGGTATGTTTGTGGTGGGTGTACTTATTAAGGTATGTTTGTGGTGGATGTACTTATTAAGGTATGTTTGTGGTGGATGTACTTATTAAGGTATGTTTGTGGTGGATGTACTTATTAAGGTATGTTTGTGGTGGGTGTACTTATTAAGGTATGTTTGTGGTGCGTGTACTTATTAAGGTATGTTTGTGGTGCGTGTACTTATTAAGGTATGTTTGTGGTGGGTGTACTTATTAAGGTATGTTTGTGGTGGATGTACTTATTAAGGTATGTTTGTGGTGCGTGTACTTATTACGGTATGTTTGTGGTGGGTGTACTTATTAAGGTATGTTTGTGGTTGATGTACTTAAGGAAACAAACAGATTAGAACAATGACTAGAACAAGATAAGGATCAAGAAGATCGATGTTGTCGTGTACCTTGTGGAGACACCCAGTAACCAGACGTCAGGCAGACGTCAACAATGTACATGCAGTAACCAGACGTCAACAATGTACATGCAGTAACCAGACGTCAAGAAGGTACATGCAGTAACCAGACGTCAAGAAGGTACATGCAGTAACCAGACGTCAACAATGTACATGCAGTAACCAGACGCCAATAAGATACATGCAGTAACCAGACGTCAAGACGTACATGCAGTAACCAAACGTCAAGACGGTACATGCAGTAACTTGACGTCAGACAGACGTCAAGAAGGTGCATGCAGTAACCAGACGTCAAGACGGTGCATGCAGTAACCTGACGTCAAGAAGGTACATGCAGTAACCAGACTTCAAGACGGTACATGCAGTAACCAGACGTCAAGAAGGTACATGCAGTAACCAGACGTCAAGAAGGTACATGCAGTAACCAGACGTCTAGAAGGTACATGCAGTAACCAGACGTCAAGAAGGTACATGCAGTAACCTGATGTCAGGAAGACGTAGACTGTAGAGAAGGTACATGCAGTAAAATAAGTTCTACACTGGTTAGACTGGTTATTTTTCCAGCAGTAAAATCGTTATACGGTTGCTTTGTTGTTACCTTGGTGTACAGAGATAATAGAATAGCCCTCGGGAATTGTATTTTGTTCCGGAGAGCAATGGTGAAGTTTTTTCATTGTTGTGACAGCGCAGATCTATATATCATTTCTTCCGCCGTAGGAGGCTGATCGCTGTCCTATTCATTCAGAAATCTTTCAGAGGCGACAGCAGCTGTTTCAAACCACAGCCATACTTTGTATTGGATAGCAGACTTTGAACTAGCTGTGTACTAAGCTTGAGACAAGGGGGGGGGGTGGATGGGGAGATAAGGGAGATTGATGGGAAAATTCTGGAAGGAAGTCTTTAGTATTCCGTCTGGTCAAAGAAAATACAGCCGGTGATTAATCTTTGATCGTTTAAAAATGTTTGATCTCCCCTCGCTCGAGACAGTCTAGGCCAGACTTTAACCCTCCACCCCCTCCCCCTACCCCGTTCTATTTCTCCTCCCCCCCCCCCCCTCCCCACCTACAAAAATAGCGAAAATCAAACTATTTTTTATCCTTGGGTCATCAACATATAGAGGCTTACAGTAAAGACTGCAACTTTTCTTTCACGTGTACCAAGTATAGGGAACTACAGTAATTATTTTAAAAAAATTGAAATAAAAATCTCGACGTCTTACACTTTCCTTATCCCGAAAAACTTTTTTTTTCCGTGTGTCTGTATCGATAACTTAAGAATCGTTCAGTTAGCTGGGCGAAATTTTATAAATAGGCATAAGGGAATTATACATAAATGACGTCACGCTTTTTTGACGTTTTTTTTAACTCCCCCCCCTCCCCTCCGTCACACATCGTCACAAAAAGCCAGACCCTCCCCCCCCCCTAAAATTACGTCACACCTCAGCCTAACCCCCCCCCCCCTCCAAATTGCTGATGAATTCCTATTACAATTTATCGAGTAAAACTCGTTGTTTTCTAACATTACTTTTTTATCACATTGCTTTTTTTTCACACCATTTAACCCCCACCCCCTCCTCTTCATCACACACCGTCAAAAAATTATGGACCCCCTCCCCACTACGAGTGTGACGTCATTTATGGACTACCCCTAAGTATTAGAACCTATACGTAGGGGTTTTTTTTCTTTTATTTATTTATTTATTTATTTTTTAGCGAACTTTCGGGTAACCTGAAGTGATTTTCTGAAACACCTTGAGAATAGTATGTTATGTGTATAGCTTCCTCTCACAAAGCAAAGCAGCGTATGCTATGAATTTTTCATCTCCAATTAAAAGAGCGGTTTTGTCACAACTATTTCTATAATCTATAGCCCGATTCCAAGTGTCATCCCAGCACACGTGAACGGATTAAGATGTGCTGTATGACTGCCAACACATTTGAATAATTTTTGTTATCAATTATTAGAAAAATACAATCTACCACTATGGTTTACTGATCCAAGGGAAATAATCAAATAAAACAATGTGTAATACTAGCAGAGTTACGCATCAAATTTATCCTATTAAATCATATCCAATTTCTAAATTATATCGAGGCGCCAACTGAACAAAAAATAGAGAGACCATAAAAAATATGTAGATCTAGATCTACACTCTAGGACGGAGGGCTAAAAAATTACCGCGAGTGAAATTCTCCTTTTAACTTAAGAGCTATATTTCGAAAAAAAAAATTTGAGGAACGACCGACAACCCTGCCCCCACCTTCTTTGATATTTTGTGTCTAACTAGCAAATATAAATAAATAGAGCACATTCTCTTTCAATAAGAACATTTCACCATAGAATCTACATTAGAGTGTGTTAATTTGTTTTTCTCTTTACACTGTAAATAATAAGGTGTTTAAAAAAGAAGAAATATGAATAATAAAAATACTGGAAGTTCCTTAGGCAACTTAGATCACTATACATTATAGATCTAGAAATCTAGATCTAGAATCTATACCCTCTATCTTATTATTCTTATTTTATTTTGATGCGGTGTGTAGAGAAGGCTAGTTTAATTTAAACCATTATAAAAACAGTAAGAAGTTACGCCAGGACAATTTGTTTTGTTTACATTTGGGGGGAGGGAATAATACTATGTAGATCTAGACCTATATGAGTCGAACTAATTTTTTTTAAATGTAGAATAATTGTATTTTAAAAATTGTTCTTACTCATTTAATCATTTAAATATCCTTTATTAAAATTTAACGTGAGCTAAAAACAATGTAACATAAGAATGTAGGCTATCTAAAAATAAACTCAGCGTCAGGATCTTAGAAGTACATTCTTATCTTACGGCACTAAAGAGTTGTAGTTAAGGAAACCATTCTGTAGAACTATTTTTGTTTATTTCGAAAATCCTTAATTATAATAAAACAATTTTCATTTTAATATTGCTTAATTTATTCATTCCATAATAAAAACATAAAATCTTCTATTTATTAACTATATTTCTTTTGTATTATTGTTTCAATTAGTGATTATTTTCATTTGCGCATTTATTCTTAATGCATGAGTTAAAGCATGTAAACAACATGGCGGCGCACTGCCGTAAAATTGATAAAGCTGGCGATATTTGAAGTATTAGAATGTTAAGTGCCGTTTGAACAGATTAATTAATTAACTAAGAAAATGCCTACAGGATTCGACCAGCAAGATAGAACTGTGAATGGTTCAATTTCCATTGAAAGTAGTGCCACAACTGCTATTGAACCTGAACTACCTGAAAGTGTCAGTCACAGTCTGAGCCACCACAGTATCAATGAAAAAGCTCTTTTTATCGAAAATATGCAGTTGGTTGAGCCCAGAAAACCAATAGCTGTTCCAAACCATCTATTAGAAACAAGTAAAGTTACTATTCTAATTGTCTGTATTTTTCTTAGTCTTCAATTGTCACTTGACTCAAATTAGACTCGTTCAGTGTTTCTTCCAGACTTTTATCTCCGGATGGGCACTTGAAATCTTCGGGGGGGCGGTAAACTATCTTCGGGGGGGCGGTAAACTTTCTTCGGGGGGGCGGACACTGTTAAAAGTATATATTTTCTATATAAATTATATAAATTTAATTTCGTTCGGGGGGGCGGTAAAAATTTTTCGGTGGGGCTTCGCCCCCCCACGAAGAGATGCCTGGAAGAAACTCTGGACTCGTTAATGAAGAAAACAGTGAAAAAAACTAATTACATTTTTTTTAAAAACACATTTAAAGCATAACTGATTTTAGGAAAGAAATATGTTATCTACACAGTAACCTACTCAAATTTATTTGATTGCTGATTAAGTAATAACAGAAAATGTACACATTTGTAGCAGGACAACAGCTGTTTTTGGTTTCTGCTGATGCCAAAAATTCAGTTTTTAATTTCTTATGAGGAAACTTTTAGAAGAAATTCATAGTTTCCATTTTTTTAAATCCAAAAATAACTCTGGCATAGATCAGAATCGGCCAGTTCAGATGCAGTGATAATATTTAGCTAAACTTCCAGTGTTTTTATTCATCCCATTGACAACCACCCCAACAGGTGAAAGTGATAATTTCAAAAGATCCATTGATTTATCTCAAATTGCTGCATCATAAAGCATCAGGCCATATAGAATATGTATAAAATGTAAAATGTTTAATGTGTCCTTGGGCATCTGCAACAATGTTGCAAATGAATTGTTTTAATTCAGATTATTCTCTGTGCTGAAAAAGTCAGAAGTCCAAAGGTCTACTCTATACAGATGGGAGAATGGGGCATTACACATTCCATAATAATATAGATGCAGTTTAAACAAAATACAACAATCTCATGTTCTTCTTCATTAAAAATTAACAATGCTAACAAAAAAATATTTGGTTTTGTAATGGTGACAAGAACTCTAATATAACTTGATTATATTACAGTTATGGTGAACTAAAAGAATATTTATTTTCCCCAGAAATTTATGCAACACTTGGCAAAAATGCTCAAGTTATTGCTAAACCAATAGCAATACATTTTGATGGCTTTGAAGTTGGAGAAAAACAGACAAGAACACTTGCATTAATAAATGCATCTTCAGAGCTCCTCAGAATGCACATCATTCCACCACAAACCAGTCATTTCAAAGTTAAATACACAAAGCCTGTGAGTATTATTATGAATTGATTCACATAACCAAAATACTAATAAGTAATTCTACAACATAATACTAGTAATGTATAGTTTCTCTTTACATTTTCTTTATGCTATACTTTTTTGCCTACAATCTTTTTGTTAGGATAGTTTGTTAAGTGATTATGATTTTACATTTGCAAATATTATATTTTTTTGGTATCGATGTGCAGTGCACACTATTAACTGGTTACTTAGAATTTTGTAATGAAGTATCTTTATAATGACTCATTTTTATTTACCAAATAAACAGGGAAAAATGGTTGCAGGTATGAGTTTAACCTGCACAGTTGAATTTACTCCAGATGAATGGCGCTATTATTATGATTGTATTCGCATTCATTCTCCTGTAAGTGTTACATTATGAATTGTTAATCAAATATTTGACTAACTTAAATATTGTTTTTCAATCACATTTTTATAAATTCTTATCAAAACATACAAAAAAAGAACTTTTTAAAACTAATAACTAAATAATTTTCCATACCTTTATACTTTTAAAACTTCTTTGCTATAAAAATCATCTACCCTTGGATTTTTTCTTAACTTTTCGCTAATTTTTGCATTTTATATAATTTTGTAACTTTTGATTCAGATAATTACAGCATTCTCAAAAATTAGACTTTGTTATTAGTATAAAAATAACACATGCATTGTTTAATAATAATTATAACCATAATTTGTATTTCTTTTAAGGGAGAAGAGAATTTAATTATTCCAATTCATGGTTACCCTGTAATGTGCACTAAAGATTTTCCCAGGAAATACAATTTTCCTCTTGTTCCTGTTGGTCACAGGTAAGTTTTCATACAGCTCCTCTACACATTAGTTTTCTTACCACAGGTAATTTTTTATACAGCTCCACCTCATACTAGTTTTCTTATCACAGCAGTTTCTCAGGATAAATTTTAACTTTTCTTCCATGAAAAGGTTATCAAAAACATTCCCTTTGAAGTCCATGGTCCCAGTAGATTTTGAGTTTATCTTCAAGTACATCCAACCACACCCAGCTTTCATTATTGAACCAATGTCAGGTAAAACAATTTTTAGTTTTCCATCTTGAAACAATTGCGGTAGGCTTATTGATTTAATTTTACACTTCAAAAACACAAGAGCATTGTTTAACATATGACCTTGTGTACTGCTACTTCTCAGGTATTGTCCCTGCTAACAATGAAATAGAAATTACAGTGACCTTTGCCCCTTTTGAGTTTCAAACAGCTCTGATGACAGTGGAACTGATTCTCTCTCAGTTCAACTCTAAAGGAATTATCTGCTCATTTACAGGAGTCTCTGAGCCCGGCTTGTTGAAGTATGTAACTTTTAGTTTCATTGGTTTTTTAATGTAGTTTAATTGTTCAACATTTCCAAGAAATAACCCACAGTTGCCTTTTTTTTACTAGTGAAAATCATTACTAGGGTAAATAGTAAATAAATATACATACATGTGGTTGGTAATGTAGTTGTGGTACGTACATGTGGTAACCAATCTAGTTGTGGTACATACATGTGGTAACTGATGTAGTTGTGGTACATACATGTGGTAACTGATGTAGTTGTGGTAAATACATGTGGTAACTGATGTAGTTGCGGTACGTTCATGTAGTAACCAATGAAGTTATTCAATCCTAACAAAAATGCCTAATGATTTTCCATCTAGAGCTAAAACCATGGCCAGCCTACGTTCTGAAGTTTTGGATCCAAGGTCTGTGTCCCCTATTGAAATGGCCAGGGTGAAGAAGACACTGACCAAGAAAACAATTGATTCAAGACAGGTGTTGTCTGCCCCTGCACATGTCAGTACTTCAGACTTTTATTGCTTCATTGCTTCTTTTTTAAAATATAAAATTGAAGCCTCTCATTTTTTAATAAGAAGGCTAGATACATCAGAGGCTCTGCAAATAGTGCTCAAAAGCTGATTGCCTGGGAAAATTAATTTAATTAAATTAATTGAAATGAAATAAAACTTCTAAAATAAAATTTCAATTACAATTTTTAAAAAAAATACAGAATAGAGGTTTGGGCAAATGAGAGTCGTTCAGTTGTATCCATACTTCCAAAGGCCTGTTCTAAAACTAAGATTGTAATCCACAGGTGAATCTTGAAAGAAATGGCATCCGATTTCCAGCCCGGATTGATAACCCACATGCTGTGGCCAAAATTTTATTACAGGAACCAGGAAAACTCAAGGTCAATGAGATTAGGCAAAGTAAGCAAATCTAGGCAAAGTAAGCAAATCTAGGCAAAGTAAGCAAATCTAGGCAAAGTAAGCAAATCACTAGGGTCAGACCAGCAGTATGGTTAGGCAAAAGGTCAAATTGTTAATCGCAAAATCGTAACGAAAAGAAAGATTTTAATAACATAATTTGATATGTTGAAACAATATTCTCTAAAGAAAGATTTTAATAACATAATTTGCTATGTTGAAACAATTTTCTCAAAAGAAAGATTTTAATAACAAATAATTTTATATGTTGAAACAATATTCTCTAAAGAAAGATTTTAATAACATAATTTGCTATGTTGAAACAATTTTCTCTAAAGAAAGATTTTAATAACATGATTTGCTATGTTGAAACAATTTTCTCTAAAGAAAGATTTTAATTACATGATTTGCTATGTTGAAACATTATTCTCTAAAGAAAGATTTTAATAACATAATTTGCTATGTTGAAACAATATTCTCTAAAGAAAGATTTTAATAACATGATTTGCTATGTTGAAACAATTTTCTCTAAAGAAAGATTTTAATAACATGATTTGCTATGTTGAAACAATTTTCTCTAAAGAAAGATTTTAATAACATGATTTGCTATGTTGAAACAATTTTCTCTAAAGAAAGATTTTAATAACATAATTTTCTATGTTGAAACAATTTTCTCTAAAGAAATATTTTAATAACATGATTTGCTATGTTGAAACAATTTTCTCTAAAGAAAGATTTATATAACATGATTTGCTATGTTGAAACAATTTTCTCTAAAGAAAGATTTTAATAACATAATTTGATATGTTGAAACAATTTTCTCTAAAGAAAGATTTTAATAACAAATAATTTGATATGTCGAAACAATATTCTCTTAAGAAAGATTTTAATAACATAATTTGATATGTTGAAACAATATTCTCTTAAGAAAGAGTTTAATAACATAATTTGATATGTTGAAACAATATTCTCTAAAGAAAGATTTTAATAACATAATTTGATATGTTGAAACAATTTTCTCTAAAGAAAGATTTTAATAACAAATAATTTGATATGTCGAAACAATATTCTCTTAAGAAAGATTTTAATAACATAATTTGATATGTTGAAACAATATTCTCTAAAGAAAGATTTTAATAACATAATTTGATATGTTGAAACAATTTTCTCTAAAGAAAGATTTTAATAACAAATAATTTGATATGTTGAAACAATATTCTCTAAAGAAAGATTTTAATAACATAATTTTCTATGTTGAAACAATATTCTCTTAAGAAAGATTTTAATAACATAATTTTCTATGTTGAAACAATATTCTCTAAAGAAAGATTTTAATAACATGATTTGATATGTTGAAACAATATTCTCTTAAGAAAGATTTTAATAACATAATTTGATATGTTGAAACAATATTCTCTAAAGAAAGATTTTAATAACATAATTTGATATGTTGAAACAATTTTCTCTAAAGAAAGATTTTAATAACAAATAATTTGATATGTTGAAACAATATTCTCTAAAGAAAGATTTTAATAACATAATTTTCTATGTTGAAACAATATTCTCTTAAGAAAGATTTTAATAACATAATTTTCTATGTTGAAACAATATTCTCTAAAGAAAGATTTTAATAACATAATTTTCTATGTTGAAACAATATTCTCTTAAGAAAGATTTTAATAACATAATTTTCTATGTTGAAACAATATTCTCTTAAGAAAGATTTTAATAACATAATTTTCTATGTTGAAACAATATTCTCTTAAGAAAGATTTTAATAACATAATTTTCTATGTTGAAACAATATTCTCTTAAGAAAGATTTTAATAACATAATTTTCTATGTTGAAACAATATTCTCTTAAGAAAGATTTTAATAACATAATTTTCTATGTTGAAACAATATTCTCTTAAGAAAGATTTTAATAACATAATTTGATATGTTGAAACAATATTCTCTAAAGAAAGATTTTAATAACATAATTTTCTATGTTGAAACAATATTCTCTAAAGAAAGATTTTAATAACATGATTTGCTATGTTGAAACAATATTCTCTAAAGAAAGATTTTAATAACAAATAATTTTCTATGTTGAAACAATATTCTCTAAAGAAAGATTTTAATAACAAATAATTTGATATGTTGAAACAATATTCTCCATCCTGACAGATGTTCTGGACCAGAAGGGGCCCACCCAGATGACCAGACAGATGAAGGTAATAACCCACGTACACCTTTATGTCAACATCACCTGTGTTTGTTTATTCTTGTGTTGGTTGATCCCACCCCCACCCACCCACTCAGTGACCCCCGTTACACATGTGTTACAGGAAGCCATGTTTGAGCAAATGGTCAGGAAAAACGTCTATGATGAAAGACAAAACCAGCTGCGATGGCAAATCAAGGTTGGGGACACGCCCATTTCCAGGGAGGAGAAGCTCAACATCCTGGAGGAGAGGAGTGAGGCCATCAACCGTTATATGGTGAGTGAGGCCATCAACTGTTATATGGTGAGTGAGGCCATCAACTGTTATATGGTGAGTGAGGCCATCAACTGTTATATGGTGAGTGAGGCCATCAACTGTTATATGGTGAGTGAGGCCATCAACTGTTATATGGTGAGTGAGCCATCAACTGTTATATGGTGAGTGAGGCCATCAACTGTTATATGGTGAGTGAGGCCATCAACTGTTATATGGTGAGTGAGGCCATCAACTGTTATATGGTGAGGCCATCAACTGTTATATGGTGAGTGAGGCCATCAACTGTTATATGGTGAGTGAGGCCATCAACTGTTATATGGTGAGTGAGGCCATCAACTGTTATATGGTGAGTGAGGCCAACTGTTATATGGTGAGTGAGGCCATCAACTGTTATATGGTGAGTGAGGCCATCAACTGTTATATGGTGAGTGAGGCCATCAACTGTTATATGGTGAGTGAGGCCATCAACTGTTATATGGTGAGTGAGGCCATCAACTGTTATATGGTGAGTGAGGCCATCAACTGTTATATGGTGAGTGAGGCCATCAACTGTTATATGGTGAGTGAGGCCATCAACTGTTATATGGTGAGTGAGGCCATCAACTGTTATATGGTGAGTGAGGCCATCAACTGTTATATGGTGAGTGAGGCCATCAACTGTTATATGGTGAGTGAGGCCATCAACTGTTATATGGTGAGTGAGGCCATCAACTGTTATATGGTGAGTGAGGCCATTAACTGTTATATGGTGAGTGAGGCCATCAACTGTTATATGGTGAGTGAGGCCATCAACTGTTATATGGTGAGTGAGGCCATCAACTGTTATAAGGTGAGTGAGGCCATCAACTGTTATACGTTGAGTGAGGCCATCAACTGTTATACGTTGAGTGAGGCCATCAACTGTTATATGGTGAGTGAGGCCATCAACTGTTATATGGTGAGTGAGGCCATCAACTGTTATATGGTGAGTGAGGCCATCAACTGTTATATGGTGAGTGAGGCCATCAACTGTTATACGGTGAGTGAGGCCATCAACTGTTATACGGTGAGTGAGGCCATCAACTGTATATGGTGAGTGAGTCCATCAACTGTTATATGGTGAGTGAGTCCATCAACTGTTATATGGTGAGTGAGGCCATCAACTGTTATATGGTGAGTGAGGCCATCAACTGTTATATGGTGAGTGAGGCCATCAACTGTTATATGGTGAGTGAGGCCATCAACTGTTATATGGTGAGTGAGGCCATCAACTGTTATATGGTGAGTGAGGCCATCAACTGTTATATGGTGAGTGAGGCCATCAACTGTTATATGGTGAGTGAGGCCATCAACTGTTATATGGTGAGTGAGGCCATCAACTGTTATATGGTGAGTGAGGCCATCAACTGTTATATGGTGAGTGAGGCCATCAACTGTTATATGGTGAGTGAGGCCATCAACTGTTATATGGTGAGTGAGGCCATCAACTGTTATATGGTGAGTGAGGCCATCAACTGTTATATGGTGAGTGAGGCCATCAACTGTTATATGGTGAGTGAGGCCATCAACTGTTATATGGTGAGTGAGGCCATCAACTGTTATATGGTGAGTGAGGCCATCAACTGTTATATGGTGAGTGAGGCCATCAACTGTTATATGGTGAGTGAGGCCATCAACTGTTATATGGTGAGTGAGGCCATCAACTGTTATATGGTGAGTGAGGCCATCAACTGTTATATGGTGAGTGAGGCCATCAACTGTTATATGGTGAGTGAGGCCATCAACTGTTATATGGTGAGTGAGGCCATCAACTGTTATATGGTGAGTGAGGCCATCATCTGTTATATGGTGAGTGAGGCCATCAACTGTTATATGGTGAGTGAGGCCATCAACTGTTATATGGTGAGTGAGGCCATCAACTGTTATATGGTGAGTGAGGCCATCAACTGTTATATGGTGAGTGAGGCCATCAACTGTTATATGGTGAGTGAGGCCATCAACTGTTATATGGTGAGTGAGGCCATCTACTGTTATATGTTGAGTGAGGCCATCAACTGTTATATGTTGAGTGAGGCCATCAACTGTTATATGGTGAGTGAGGCCATCAACTGTTATATGGTGAGTGAGGCCATCAACTGTTATATGGTGAGTGAGGCCATCAACTGTTATATGGTGAGTGAGGCCATCAACTGTTATATGGTGAGTGAGGCCATCAACTGTTATATGGTGAGTGAGGCCATCAACTGTTATATGGTGAGTGAGGCCATCAACTGTTATATGGTGAGTGAGGCCATCAACTGTTATATGGTGAGTGAGGCCATCAACTGTTATATGGTGAGTGAGGCCATCAACTGTTATATGGTGAGTGAGGCCATCAACTGTTATATGGTGAGTGAGGCCATCAACTGTTATATGGTGAGTGAGGCCATCAACTGTTATATGGTGAGTGAGGCCATCAACTGTTATATGGTGAGTGAGGCCATCAACTGTTATATGGTGAGTGGGGCCATCAACTGTTATATGGTGAGTGGGGCCATCAACTGTTATATGGTGAGTGGGGCCATCAACTGTTATATGGTGAGTGGGGCCATCAACTGTTATATGGTGAGTGAGGCCATCAACTGTTATATGGTGAGTGAGGCCATCAACTGTTATATGGTGAGTGAGGCCATCAACTGTTATATGGTGAGTGAGGCCATCAACTGTTATATGGTGAGTGAGGCCATCAACTGTTATATGGTGAGTGAGGCCATCAACTGTTATATGGTGAGTGAGGCCATCAACTGTTATATGGTGAGTGAGGCCATCAACTGTTATATGGTGAGTGAGGCCATCAACTGTTATATGGTGAGTGAGGCCATCAACTGTTATATGGTGAGTGAGGCCATCAACTGTTATATGGTGAGTGAGGCCATCAACTGTTATATGGTGAGTGAGGCCATCAACTGTTATATGGTGAGTGAGGCCATCAACTGTTATATGGTGAGTGAGGCCATCAACTGTTATATGGTGAGTGAGGCCATCAACTGTTATATGGTGAGTGAGGCCATCAACTGTTATATGGTGAGTGAGGCCATCAACTGTTATATGGTGAGTGAGGCCATCAACTGTTATATGGTGAGTGAGGCCATCAACTGTTATATGGTGAGTGAGGCCATCAACTGTTATATGGTGAGTGAGGCCATCAACTGTTATATGGTGAGTGAGGCCATCAACTGTTATATGGTGAGTGAGGCCATCAACTGTTATATGGTGAGTGAGGCCATCAACCGTTATATGGTGAGTGAGGCCATCAACTGTTATATGTTGAGGATCAAGTGATATAACTGGTTGGCTAGCTAGCTGAAGGTCTTTGGCTTCAGGTTGGGTTAGCTGTCTAGCTGGAGGTCTTTGGCTTCAGTTTTTTATTTAGTCATGTTGTGTTGTGACTGTGATGTAAATGTCCTCTTTAAGATTTACACAGTGAAACTGGATGATTAGAGATCAAAATTTCTGGTTTCAGCTGGATATCCAAGGGATCCCAATTCCAGAAGAAGAATTTTGCCGTACACAGACTTTCTCACGTGTGTACAGAATCATCAGAGACGTTGACAGTGTTAGTACACATTTCACAAAGCCTTTGAAAAAATTGTGCCATAATTTTTTGTAGTCACAAATCGTTATTCATAATTATTGTTTTTTTTTATAAATAGCTGTCATACAGGGACCATTTTTAATTTACAGCTAGCACCAATAGAAGCCAAATTTGATTGCTACTCCAATGACCAGTGGGCAGTTAGGTTTGCCAATTTGAATAAGTTGGTTCAAGCTGCAAGAAAAGTAGGTGAATTTTTTTTTTACACCAAAATTTTTAAAAAAAATGATATTTCATTTATTTTTTCTGACATATATAAGATGTGATCAGCAGTTGTTGACTGAAATGTGTGTTGTGTACAGGTTGTTATCCAGAATAGAGGAGAATCTCGCCTGCGGGGGTTGAGAGAACTAGTGCACACATTCTCCACAACCAAACCAAGGGAGGCAACAACAGACTCTGGTAACTCTCTTACTGGGGAGGGGAATTTAAATACAGAAAAATTGTACACATTGTTTATTGTAGATATTGGCATAGCACACATCGATGTAACTAATTTGTTAGGTTTTTTAAACTTAGAGTTAAGATTTGGATTAGGAGTGAAGTATCATTATTGACATATAAATAAATTATGTCACTAACACTTCCCATTGTTTTGAATGTGTTCTGTCTGACAGCCAAGCTTACTGAACATGAACACAGAAATGAAAAAGAAGAAAGTCACCATTTAAAAGCTGAGAAGATTCTAAGACACAAGTTCCCCACATTTGTGTCCAGCACAGAGAAGAATGATATGGTAAAGAATATTTTGTTAAAACTAGCTTCATACAAATGTCATACCATAACAAATAAAAATATTCAACTGTACTAAGTAAAATATCTCATTGTTTTTTGTAACTAGTTGTTTACATAGCAAATATCATACCATAACAAACAAAAATATTCAACTGTACTGAGTAAAATGTCCAATTATATTTGTTCTTTAACCTGCTGAGATCTCTGTTCATTTCCTACCTTCCCTGACAACACAGGCACCTGATTCTGTTGGGCTGGTCCAGGTTGATCCTACAGAAATAATCATTAAGCGGGAAGTTGAATACTTCAATCTGAAGGTAAACATATTCTTGTACACATAATCATCAAGCGGGAAGTTGAATACTTCAATCTGAAGGTAAACATATTCTTGTACACATAATCATCAAGCGGGAAGTTGAATACTTCAATCTGAAGGTAAACATATTCTTGTACACATAATCATCAAGCGGGAAGTTGAATACTTCAATCTGAAGGTAAACATATTCTTGTACACATAATCATCAAGCGGGAAGTTGAATACTTTAATCTGAAGGTAAACATATTCTTGTACACATAATCATCAAGCGGGAAGTTGAATACTTCAATCTGAAGGTAAACATATTCTTGTACACATAATCATCAAGCGGGAAGTTGAATACTTCAATCTGAAGGTAAACATATTCTTGTACACATAATCATCAAGCGGGAAGTTGAATACTTCAATCTGAAGGTAAACATATTCTTGTACACATAATCATCAAGCGGGAAGTTGAATACTTCAATCTGAAGGTAAACATATTCTTGTACACATAATCATCAAGCGGGAAGTTGAATACTTCAATCTGAAGGTAAACATATTCTTGTACACATAATCATCAAGCGGGAAGTTGAATACTTCAATCTGAAGGTAAACATATTCTTGTACACATAATCATCAAGCGGGAAGTTGAATACTTCAATTTGAAGGTAAACATATTCTTATATGTCATTGGTCATCTTGTAAAAAAACATAATTACGTCGTTTGGACAGTAACCTGTCAAGTTTATACATGACTCCATCAGATTTATGTTGTATTTACCACAGGTGCCACTGGCCTATAAGCTCAATGACTACAACCATTTGAATGTTCATGATGCCTCAAGTGGTTATGTCCCAATGAAAGGGCTGAGGAAATTACGGACAGGTGCTGAGGTTGGTTGTTCAAATTTTATTTTTGAAAATCCTTTTAACTCTTTACGACTGTAACAAAGCTTCCACTCTAACAAGGCTACCACTGTTTGGTTCTCCAGCCTGCCTTACAACTACAGTAACAACATTCACAGAGTCCGTTAATATTTTCTGTATTTAATTTTTTGGTCTCCCGAATCTAAGTTTTTTACTTGTAAATCTAGTTCTGCCATTTTTAGTTGTGTATATTTCTTGTAGTTTTCTATTTGGGCTGATTTTGTATTTTTTAGCTATTTTAGAAAATTGTGCAAAAGCCACTTGCAATGTGGCATTATTTTTAGCATGGACCTACTTTTGTTTACTAATAATAAATTTTATCAATATTTTCTGACTAAATGTATTTTTTTCCAAGAAATGCTGCTCTGTCAATTTTTTTTTCTTCAAAACTAAGTAATTTTCTTTCTTCAGTAAATACATAATTACTTAATATCAGTGGGTGGGAAATTCAATTACAATTAATTTATATCAGTGGGTTTTAAATAAACAGGTAAAAAGAAATGAGTTTTTTTTCAGCATAGATACTGAAAAAATAATTCAGGTGAAATGTGAAAATAATTAGGTCCTAAACAGTTAATAAAAACTTGTTTGTTATGAAGTAAACCAATAAATCTGAATCTCTTGACAAAGCTAGCAGTCATACACCAAAGCTAGCAGTCACACACCAAAGCTAGCAGTCACAGACCAAAGCTAGCAGTCACAGACCAAAGCTAGCAGTCACAGACCAAAGCTAGCAGTCACAGACCAAAGCTAGCAGTCACAGACCAAAGCTAGCAGTCATACACCAAAGCTAGCAGTCACACACTAAAGCTAGCAGTCACACACCAAAGCTAGCAGTCACACACCAAAGCTAGCAGTCACAGACCAAAGCTAGCAGTCACAGACCAAAGCTAGCAGTCATACACCAAAGCTAGCAGTCACACACTAAAGCTAGCAGTCACACACCAAAGCTAGCAGTCACACACCAAAGCTAGCAGTCACATACCAAAGCTAGCAGTCACACACCAAAGCTAGCAGTCACATACCAAAGCTAGCAGTCACACACCAAAGCTAGCAGTCACACACCAAAGCTAGCAGTCACAGACCAAAGCTAGCAGTCACAGACCAAAGCTAGCAGTCACACACCAAATCTAGCAGTCACACACCAAATCTAGCAATCACACACCAAAGCTAGCAGTCATACACCAAATCTAGCAGTCACACACCAAAGCTAGCAGTCACACACCAAATCTAGCAATCACACACCAAAGCTAGCAGTCACACACCAAAGCTAGCAGTCACACACCAAAGCTAGCAGCCACACACCAAATCTAGCAGTCACACACCAAAGCTAGCAGTCACACACCAAAGCTAGCAGTCATACACCAAAGCTAGCAGTCACACACCTAAGCTAGCAGTCACACACCAAAGCTAGCAGTCATACACCAAAGCTAGCAGTCACACACCAAAGCTAGCAGTCACACACCAAAGCTAGCAGTCACACACTAAAGCTAGCAGTCATACACCAAAGCTAGCAGTCATACACCAAAGCTAGCAGTCACACACCAAAGCTAGCAGTCATACACCAAAGCTAGCAGTCACACACCAAAGCTAGCAGTCATACACCAAAGATTCACATATCACACACCAACAACTCACATATCACGCACCAAACACTCACATATGACACATTATAAATGTCCATTCATTAACTTTCACTTGACTAAACAGGAGGAGGTAATCACAATCTCAGAGGATTCTGTCGACCCGTGTCAGGAGGTCGTAGGTCAATCCAGACTTTCTATGGCGGACCAAGTGGAGACTGGAGATTTGGCTCCACCAGCTGCCATGTTGAAACCTATGGAGTATCCTGCTCTGTATATAATGGTAGGTTTAAACCTATGGAGTATCCTGCTCTGTATATAATGGTAGGTTTAAACCTATGGAGTATCCTGCTCTCTATATAATGGTAGGTTTAAACCTATGGAGTATCCTGCTCTCTATATAATGGTAGGTTTAAACCTATGGAGTATCCTGCTCTGTATATAATGGTAGGTTTAAACCTATGGAGTATCCTGCTATCTATATAATGATAGGTTTAAACCTATGGAGTATCCTGCTCTGTATATAATGGTAGGTTTAAATCTATGGAGTATCCTTTCCGAGAAAATTAATAATAGTAGTAAAAATGTTTTGTGTACCATGGTTTCTTTCAGAATGTAAACATTTTGGTGAAATAATTTATAGTGTAGTTGTTCCTGACAGAATGAAGAAGATTTTAACTCTGAGATGTTATTTGTGTACAGAACCCATCACCTGGACTGCAGGTATTCCTTGCTCCCATGCCCTACTCAGAAGTCGACTATGACTACCACTTATGTCCCCTGCCAAGATACCCTAAAACAGAACAAGGGGGAACAAAGTCTGTCAGCACACAGAAGCGGTTTTTGGATCGGGAGGTTGGTCTGAGATATATTTGATGTAACTGGTTGGTCTTAGATATATTTGATGTAACTGGTTGGTCTGAGATATATTTGATGTAACTGGTTGGTCTGGGATAGATTTGATGTAACTGGTTGGTCTTAGATTTGATGTAACTGGTTGGTCTGAGATATATTTGATGTAACTGGTTGGTCTGAGATATATTTGATGTAACTGGTTGGTCTGAGATAGATTTGATGTAACTGGTTGGTCTTAGATTTGATGTAACTGGTTGGTCTTAGATATATTTGATGTAACTGGTTGGTCTGAGATATATTTGATGTAACTGGTTGGTCTTAGATATATTTGATGTAACTGGTTGGTCTTAGATTTGATGTAACTGGTTGTTCTTAGATATATTTGATGTAACTGGTTGGTCTGAGATATATTTGATGTAACTGGTTGGTCTGAGATATATTTGATGTAACTGGTTGGTCTTAGATTTGATGTAACTGGTTGGTCTTAGATTTGATGTAACTGGTTGGTCTGAGATAGATTTGATGTAACTGGTTGGTCTGAGATAGATTTGATGTAACTGGTTGGTCTGAGATAGATTTGATGTAACTGGTTGGTCTGAGATATATTTGATGTAACTGGTTGGTCTGAGATAGATTTGATGTAACTGGTTGGTCTGAGATATATTTGATGTAACTGGTTGGTCTTAGATTTGATGTAACTGGTTGGTCTTAGATATATTTGATGTAACTGGTTGGTCTGAGATATATTTGATGTAACTGGTTGGTCTTAGATTTGATGTAACTGGTTGGTCTTAGATATATTTGATGTAACTGGTTGGTCTTAGATATATTTGATGTAACTGGTTGGTCTTAGATTTGATGTAACTGGTTGGTCTTAGATATATTTGATGTAACTGGTTGGTCTGAGATATATTTGATGTAACTGGTTGGTCTTAGATTTGATGTAACTGGTTGGTCTTAGATTTGATGTAACTGGTTGGTCTGAGATAGATTTGATGTAACTGGTTGGTCTGAGATATATTTGATGTAACTGGTTGGTCTTAGATTTGATGTAACTGGTTGGTCTTAGATATATTTGATGTAACTGGTTGGTCTGAGATATATTTGATGTAACTGGTTGGTCTTAGATTTGATGTAACTGGTTGGTCTTAGATATATTTGATGTAACTGGTTGGTCTGAGATATATTTGATGTAACTGGTTGGTCTTAGATATATTTGATGTAACTGGTTGGTCTGAGATATATTTGATGTAACTGGTTGGTCTTAGATTTGATGTAACTGGTTGGTCTTAGATATATTTGATGTAACTGGTTGGTCTGAGATATATTTGATGTAACTGGTTGGTCTTAGATTTGATGTAACTGGTTGGTCTGAGATATATTTGATGTAACTGGTTGGTCTGAGATATATTTGATGTAACTGGTTGGTCTTAGATTTGATGTAACTGGTTGGTCTTAGATATATTTGATGTAACTGGTTGGTCTGAGATATATTTGATGTAACTGGTTGGTCTTAGATTTGATGTAACTGGTTGGTCTTAGATATATTTGATGTAACTGGTTGGTCTGAGATATATTTGATGTAACTGGTTGGTCTTAGATTTGATGTAACTGGTTGGTCTGAGATATATTTGATGTAACTGGTTGGTCTGAGATAGATTTGATGTAACTGGTTGATCTGAGATAGATTTGATGTAACTGGTTGGTCTGAGATATATTTGATGTAACTGGTTGGTCTGAGATATATTTGATGTAACTGGTTGGTCTTAGATATATTTGATGTAACTGGTTGGTCTGAGATATATTTGATGTAACTGGTTGGTCTGAGATATATTTGATGTAACTGGTTGGTCTTAGATTTGATGTAACTGGTTGGTCTTAGATATATTTGATGTAACTGGTTGGTCTGAGATATATTTGATGTAACTGGTTGGTCTTAGATTTGATGTAACTGGTTGGTCTGAGATATATTTGATGTAACTGGTTGGTCTGAGATATATTTGATGTAACTGGTTGGTCTTAGATTTGATGTAACTGGTTGGTCTTAGATATATTTGATGTAACTGGTTGGTCTGAGATATATTTGATGTAACTGGTTGGTCTTAGATTTGATGTAACTGGTTGGTCTTAGATATATTTGATGTAACTGGTTGGTCTTAGATTTGATGTAACTGGTTGGTCTTAGATTTGATGTAACTGGTTGGTCTGAGATATATTTGATGTAACTGGTTGGTCTGAGATATATTTGATGTAACTGGTTGGTCTTAGATTTGATGTAACTGGTTGGTCTGAGATATATTTGATGTAACTGGTTGGTCTGAGATATATTTGATGTAACTGGTTGGTCTTAGATTTGATGTAACTGGTTGGTCTGAGATAGATTTGATGTAACTGGTTGGTCTGAGATAGATTTGATGTAACTGGTTGGTCTGAGATAGATTTGATGTAACTGGTTGGTCTGAGATAGATTTGATGTAACTGGTTGGTCTGAGATAGATTTGATGTAACTGGTTGGTCTGAGATAGATTTGATGTAACTGGTTGGTCTGAGATAGATTTGATGTAACTGGTTGGTCTGAGATATATTTGATGTAACTGGTTGGTCTGAGATAGATTTGATGTAACTGGTTGGTCTGAGATAGATTTGATGTAACTGTTTTATTTACAAAAACTGATTAAAGTTGTTGATATAGTTAGCAATATAATTTGTTGTAATACTGTCTGATATAATGTTGCCGTTCACTTCCCCAGGACACAATACGAGGGATAATGAGCTGGAAAAAGTTTCCCTCTCAAGGCCTGGTTTCACTGACCAACGCTCCAACATTGACCAACGTTTGGGTCCCAAGATGGTAGGCAGAAATTTGGATCATCTTAAATTGTTTATTTTTTCTTTCCTTTTTCTGCAGTTTTTATTTATGTACCACATTAAGTGTAAGCAATTTATATATTAAATGTTTTTATTGGTAATATATATCTCAAGCATATATAGCTACAGAAAAGGAAGATGAGCATGAACTTGAAGACAAAAAACTGTTTTAATTTTCATGTCACACAGTGTCTTGTGTTTATTTAGTCTTTCAATGATTTTGTTCTTCAAGCTTGGGCAAATTTTTTTTTATAAAACTATAATAAACAAAGCTTTAATGGCATGAATTAAAAACCATTGTAGCAGCTAATACCCTCTGTTTGATATATTTTGTTCTACCCAACATATTTTGTTCCATAAACAGGGATGATAGTTTTAACACAGGTATTCTACCCAACATATTTTGTTCCATAAACAGGGATGATAGTTTTAACCCAGATATTCTACCCAACATATTTTGTTCCATAAACAGGGATGATAGTTTTAACCCAGATATTCTACCCACTGAGTTGCCTCCACTGATGACAGAACTTTCACCAGAAGAGTTGGACAACTGCGTGGATGAGTGAGTTTGTCTGTTAGCTTTATTTGGGGAAAACTGGCTTTAGTGTTTTGAAATTAAATTTAGTTTGAAATCAAAAGATTGAAAAATCTGGCACAATTAGTTTAACTGCTGTACGGCTGTGACATAGACTTGCCAGGCAAATGATCAGACATTTTATCTGTATGTCAAACTTCCTGCACTCAATAATAGATTAAAAAAATATTTAAACTGCTTTGACAATTCAATATTTTAAAACAAGTTATAGAAGGCATGCAGTAAATTTACATGCTAAGTACCCATAACTTTATATGTGGTCTATGTAGGCTTGACAACTTTATGTGGTCTATGTAGCCTTGACCCAACAACTTTATATGTGGTCTATGTAATTTTATGAGTGACCTTTGTATTCTTCTCCCCTCCCTCCCCCCCCCCCCCCCCAGGGAGACTGAAGCTGCCCTCAACCTTGTCCCTGAGATGGTCAGTGCAAAGTTTCCTCTGGTGGACATCAATTCTATGGACCCAAAGGCTGTGTAAGTTTTCTTGTCATGTGGGGAAGGGAGGCAACTAGCTCATGTTTATACACATTCATTTCTGTCCTAACCTCTGAGATACAAACATCAGTTGAAAGATATTATCTTGTTTAATGTCTGTCCTAAACTCTGATACAAACATCAGTTGAAAGATATTATCTTATTTAATGTCTGTCCTAAACTCTGATACAAACATCAGTTGAAAGATATTATCTTATTTAATGTCTGTCCTAAACTCTGAGATATCAAACATCAGTTGAAAGATATTATCTTATTTAATGTCTGTCCTAAACTCTGAGATATCAAACATCAGTTGAAAGATATTATCTTATTTAATGTCTGTCCTAAACTCTGAGATATCAAACATCAGTTGAAAGATAATATCTTATTTAATGTCTGTCCTAAACTCTGAGATATCAAACATCAGTTGAAAGATATTATCTTATTTAATGTCTGTCCTAAACTCTGAGATATCAAACATCAGTTGAAAGATATTATCTTATTCACAGAGAAGATGAAGACTACGATCCAAAGTAAGCTCAGACAATTGCCACACATTTTGTTTTCTTTCACTGGTTCACTTTTTTACTTCAAACTAGGATTGTAATATGGCTGAATTTGTTGGCCTTGTTTGCTTTGACTTGTTACATGTTTCACTTTAGTTTAACACAGATTCATAAGACAAAGTGATTTAATTTGGTTTGTTTCACTGGTTAAATGTTTCACTTTCAATGTCTGATTTGTATCATCGAAGCATAAAGTTAAATATTGATTTGTTTCAATGTTTAATTATTTTGCTTTTAATTTATTAAGCTAAACATAAAGATAATATCAAACTTATATGCCCCAGTTATTTTTACCCTCTAGATTTGTCAGAACAGTTTTTCTTTTGATATTGTATCCACTATTTTGGTCCCATTGATTACTGACTGTTTTATTAATTTTTTTAAAACATTGCAAGCACAGATTGTGTAATATTTCTTGGAGCTACTCTCAGCTGAAATAAATCATGACGTCCCCCACACTAACACATGACAACAAACCCCCCCACACTAACACATGACAACAAACCCCCCACACTAACACATGACAACAAACCCCCCACACTAACACATGACAACAAATCCCCCACACTAACACATGACAACAAACCCCCCACACTAACACATGGCAACCAGTCCCCCACACTGACAACAAATCCCTCACACTAACACATGGCAACCAGTCCCCCACACTGACAACAAATCCCCCACACTAACACATGACAACCAATCCCCCACACTGACAACAAATCCCCCACACTAACACATGACAACAAACCCCCCACACTAACACATGACAACAAATCCCCCACACTGACAACAAATCCCCCACACTAACACATGACAACCAGTCCCCCGCACTAACACATGACAACAAATCCCCCACACTAACACACAACTTACTGCTGTTTCAGGGACCAGTTCCCACAGAACAACAAGCTGCCTCCTGTCAACAATGCTGTTGGTCTCCATGGGCCAGTCCAAAGGTAAACACTGGGAAGATCATTGCTGTTGGTTGATAGAGGGATGGAATATAGGCTACATTTTGTAGTTTGTTTATTGAGGGGTGGAATGTACATTTTTGTAGTTTGTTGATTGAGGGGTGGAATATACATTTTTGTAGTTTGTTTATTGAGGGGTGGAATGTACATTTTTGTAGTTTGTTTATTACGAGATGGTAAATGCATATGTGTAGTTAGTTTATTGAGGGGTGGAATATACATTTTTGTAGTTTATTGATTGAGGAATGATTACAGATCTTAGTAGAAACTGCTCAATTAAATTCTTTTTGTTTTCTAAAATTTTGTTCAAAATCTTTTTGCTATCTGCTTATTTGGTCCTTGCAATTGAAAATTGAGTTTTTAAAGTAACTTGTGGACACTACACAAATTTTAATTTGGATATTGATTTCAGTGAGTTATAATAAACTTATAATTAGCACAATTCAAACATTTTTTGTATTGTATCTTGCAGGGAGAAACGTGAAGAGGAACTAGAACTCTTCATGTTGAGGAGATACAACAAGCTGAGAACAAAGATACAAGCTAAGTTAGAGGCCATTAGTGCTAAAGTTTGATTGATTGAAAGCTAATGCCTAATGTACAGTTGTAAAAAATGTTCAAGTTTAGGAGATCTCAAAATAAAACAACAGATGAGTGACCTTGTCACACAACAGACCATCATATGGGGCCCTACTGGGTGGAGTTCTGCTTGCATCATCATCTAGGGTTCATTGATTATAGGAAAACATTAACAAGTTATTAACTGTTATTTCATTCTATTACAGTGACATTTTGTATGGATTTTTGTTTATGTTACATTTTTTTCTTCAAAGATTTACTAGTTTCAACTCAACCCATGTTTTTTTTTTAAACTTTTAGCTATAGAAAAATCTCACCTAAAAAGTGGTGAAAAATTGGTGTCATTGTTTACATAATATATATAAAATGACAACATTAATTTGCAAAAATAATTTGATCTATGAACTCTGAAATGTTTTTGTAAACAAAGAAAATATAATTTATATTTATAAGCACTTAAGCCAAAAAATATATTTGCCATATTTTACACATTTTTCAGAAAATTTTTTTTTTTTATTGACGTGTGTCTTTATACGTTGTCTTCTTGTTCGTGTGTCTTTGCTGTCTCATCTGTGATATTTCATGATTGTCTTTCATTATTTTTAAACAAAGTACCATCTTTCATGCATTATTGCTCATTTTCAGGCAAAAAGTAGCAAATAATTTTTGTTATAAAAGTCATGTGTAAGTACTGCTGCAGTGAAAAAGTGAAACATCTTCAAGTTTTATTAAATGTACTTTCTTATCATAAAATCTCTGTTTTTTATTCATTTTTTTATTTATACAGTCAATGTTGCTTCTAGTATCTTCTTACTGAATCGTTCCTGGAATAACAAATTGAGATTTTTGGGTTAGCTTGTTGGCTCTACTATCAGACCCACCATATCGTCCATAATACTACATGACCATACTATAGTCTGAGTTTCTTCCAGGCATCTCTTCGGGGGAACTTATATAGAAAACATATACTTTTACCAGTGTCCGCCCACCCCACCCGGAAAATGTTGACCCCCCCCCCCCCGATAATATCAATTGCCCCCTCCCCTTAAAAATGTTGACTGCCCCCCCCCCCCCCGCGAAAAGGGTCTGGAAGAAACACTGACTATAGTTAGTGAGATTGTGTGTGCTGAGTTTCTTCCAGGCATCTCTTCAGGGGGGCTCTGCCCCCCCCCCCCCCCGAAGAAAGTCAACCCCCCCCCCCCCCCCCCCCCGAACGAGATGGAATTTATATAGTAAACATACACTTTTACTAGTGTCCGCCCCCCCCCGAAAAATGTTTGCCGATATAGTCTAGGAGTCTTATCTATTGCTGTAAAAGAGTTAGCCTGTAGAGTTTGTATTATGACCCAATCTATGTCAGCCTATAGTCTGTATTATGACCCAATCTATGTCAGCCTATAGTTTGTATTATGACCCAATCTATGTCAGCCTATAGTTTGTATTATGACCCAATCTATTGCTGTAAAAGTGTTAGCCTGTAGAGTTTGTATTATGACCCAATCTATTGCTGTAAAATGTTGCTAGTCCTACAGGGTCTGTTTGTATTATGACCCAATCTATTGCTGTAAAATGTTGCTAGTCCTACAGGGTCTGTTTGTATTATGACCCAATATTTTGCTGTAAAATGTTGCTAGACCTACAGGGTCTGCTCGTGTGGTGGTCCCAGCGCCATCTTGGTCTCCAGATAGTGTTGACGGTGTTGGAGGCGGGAGGATCCCATTTGGACTGACAACTTCCGTGTCACGTGATGGATTGGTCCCCAAACAAAGCCCGCGGCAACAACAGTGAACCGTTTGATTGAAAGCTTTCGATTGGATGGCGTCAATACAAGGCTGCCCAACGCTCTCCAAATTAAATTTCATTTATCTGTCGGTATTGTGGGGGAGGGGGTACACACCCACCTTAGCATTGGCTACCAAGAAAAAAAGTTGAAACTACAATTTCTGGTGTGCTACCTTAAAACCAGTTCATACAAAAACAAATACATATAAGCGAATAAATTCGGCAATGTTCGGTGAAACCGTAACAAAATATTGAAGTGAAGTTGTTCCATTTTTTTTTAAATATCACAAACAACATGTGTGTATGGGGGGGGGAGAGATCAGTGACTCAAGATTGTAGGAACGATTCAGACTCTGAAATCACATGTTCAAGTAAACTTTATTTAGCCCGAGGGGGAGGGGGAGCTCAGTAAATTTGTGTATATTTGACAACAGCCTAGGGAAAGTAGGGAACGGCCTTATGACGTAATTTGTGATTGGGTGGGGGTAAATAATTTTTAAGGAGAGATTATTTCTAAAATCGTTGTGGGCTCACCTGTAGGTGCTAAAGCAAAGCCCCCCCCCCCACACACACACGTATTATACTCCTTGTTAAAGTATTCTATAAATAATGTTGTCACCGTTGGATTATAAAATAAAACAAAATTCACGTGGAATTAAAATGTTTTTAAAATTTATTTGTGCATATTTCTACGTTTGTTGAAGATTGGGAAGTCCATTTGATAGAAATGAACCCAATTTGTGCTCAGCCACCAATGTTTATCGTCAAGTCTTGTAAATAATTCCTAGAGTTTGACATCTAATGGGGGGGGGGGGCGTCTTCCTGGACTGGTTGTTGGCGCCCAGGGCTAACCATGTGATCCTGGCTCATGACAGAGAGGGGAGCGACATTTGGCTCGTCACCCACGGCCTCAGGGAAATGTTCACCTCCAACTTTCGTAAGGGCGGGGGCTGGGGGGAGGGGCTGCAACTTACAGGGGGAAGATGTCTGACGTCACATACCTCCAGATCCTACCGTCTCAGTAAGATCAGTTAGCCGACCAGGCGTTACATTTGAGTTCAACCAGCAGCCATCGTTTCCTGACTTCCTGCTAGCGGCCTGCTTGTTGTGCCGGGGAGACATTCGATTGTCTGACACCAGCCCAGTTTATCAACCTAACCCAGTGGAACTATCCTCTCCATGGATCTGCCTGTCTTCGTCGTGTCTTTGTGTCTTGTCTTTCGTGTCTCGTCTTTCCCGACGGGCGGTCCGTTGTCTGCATGCAGTCACCTGATGCCCGTACACATAGACGGGGAGCTGCAGGAGGGCGCCCCGCCCTACGTGCTCATTCTCAACGACACAACATACGGGTCACACCCGCTCAAGTGTGAGTACTAGTTTACACGTTTTAAAAATGAAGTTTTGCTTTGACCTTTAAGGTTAACACAAACTGTATTAACTAACCCAAATCCTACCTTATGAGTAGGTGTTTGTTTTTTTCTTAACTAACATTAATTGAACACAATATTAGTGAACTATTGTAAGCCAACGGTGTTCGTTAAGATTGGAGCAGTTCTTTACTTAGTTTTGACGACTTCAACAAACTTGCTGTTTGATACGTCTTTTAAACACAATGTAGGCCTAGTTTCCCCAGAAACTCTATTTCACTATCATTATAAAAACAAGACTTTAATATTTATTTATCCGGAGGAAAAGTCTGAAAGAAACACTAGCATCCCTGTGTCCTCAGCCACTTGCACCAATTACAAAAGAAATATTTTGATCTTCAGCCGGTCATGTCATTAGATCCCGTACGTTCTGTTGGGTGGAAAAAATGTAATGGCTTTTACTTTCATCAAACGGGTTAGACTCTTGAAGGATCATTTAAGTATTTTTACTTTCTCGTATTTACGAAGTATAGAGAAAGTCTTGTAATCGTGCAAAAAAAAAAAATCGAGATTTTTGCAAATCTCGACGTTTTAGGGCTACCTGAGTCGGAAAAACATAGTTTTGCAATCTTGTCCGTATGTCTGTGTGTATGTGTGTCTGTGTGTGTGTGTGTGTGTGTGTGTGTGTGTGTGTGTAAACACGATAACTTGAGTACCGTTACAGCTAGGTTGATAAAATTTTATATAAAAGTATTATATCAAAATCGTAGATCCGTATCAACTTTTGAGCGATTTCCGATAACCGGATGTGGAACTTTTTCTACTTTGAGTTTTTCAAAATTATTTGAGATTATTTCAGATAGAAAAATGAAATTTCACATGTAAGTAAAAGTTCTAATTCTCTGCCTTTTATCAAATTTTGAATAATTTCCGTCGACCGGAAGTAGTAATTTACGCTATTTCCGATTTCTAAAAAAAAAACGCATGTGAGTTTATAAAGTACTTAAAATATCCAGCACTATTGTGCACATTTTATTTGGTGTGCAATTCTTTTTTTTTACGAGATTCTATTCTATTCTATTATAAAAAGTTTAAGTAATTAAAAATGGATTTAAAATATTGTCTATGTCCCGAGTTGCCATCCCCCGTAGTGTTATATTAGAATATTTGAGAAAGTTTAGGGGAGATCACTCCCGGTTTATCAAAAATGCGAATGTGTTAAAAAAATTATTTAAAAAAACAACAACAACATGATTTTGCATGGGAATCGTTGTTTTCTTTTGTACAAATTCGATAATTTGTTTAGTCATAATCCAGTTGCGCCATAGGGGTGGCAACTGGGGTGCTACCCCACCAACATTAGGGGGTAAGATTTAGGGGTGACATCAAACTGAAGAAACTCGTAAAACAGAAAAATGTTTTATCCAGTTAAAATAATAAAGGTCAAGCCTGCCCGCGTCTTCTATGCACAAGCTATGGTAGTGGTCTGCCTCGAAAGCTCTATTTTTGTAGAGCTGATTGGCAGAAGTGTTTACACGTCTGACTTGATGCTAAGACACCCGACCTAGAGACGCATTTGTCATAATCACCACAATATCTTTTTAACGGCTTTTTGTCCTTCTCGTAGCCACATTGTGTAAACAAACGGCCTTAGCCATGTCGTTTGAAAAATACTTACATAAAGAGAAGTGGGGGGGGGGGGTCTCTAGAACTAAAATATACAGGGGGGGGGGGGGAAGATGGTCTAATTAAAAAATATATTAAATTACAGTTTCTCTAGCATTTAAGATACGCCAGTGTAGTATGTGAAAGTCAATAGTAAAAATATTTTTTTTCAAGTTCTCTTTCACCTGTTGCATATTTGTTTAGTAAATATTTAGTTTAAAATTGTTTTTATTTCTATACTTTTGAAAGCAAAAGGCTACCCGTAAGTAGAAAAAAAAACAGCAGTGTCCGTGTAAACTAGATCTGTATGGTTGGGTCTCTCTCGGCCTATCTAACATACGCCATAAAAAAAAAAAAGTTTTTCTACAACAGCCCTAACGCTGACACCAACGATGAGAAGACAACTGGGTGACCTTGTCTGCAACACAAGCAACATGTAAACACGGCGGTGATACACTCTATAAACAACTCAATGTATTTTAATTATTGGATCCCGAAGATAACTGAATGGAACCGAATTTTTGAAACATAAAATGTGTATATGACAGGGGAAAAGACTCGTAAATACTGAATGTATTGACAGTAGTTTCCCATCATTGCCGTCATAACCTTATGACCTAATTACTGCTCTTGATGACGATAGAGGGTAATTTTATTTCTTTCCCATAGCCATCCAGAGTCTTGGCAACGTTTTTATGGCAGTTAGACAACCTAGTCTTGTTTTATGGCCAAAGTTATTTCATTCAGTTGCTGTATGACTACGACTAGTTCTGTTGTGAAGAATTCCAAAATAAATACTCAGGAAATAGAATTATCGTTTGGAGATCTGTCACATGTCAGCCGGGTTCCCGGGATGGTTTGGTGCCAATAGATCCTGGTGGACAGGTCACTCCATTAGCTTCAGGGTCCCCACCCTCTTTCCAATATGTGCAACAGTAAACAGTTTCATTAGTTGCTTGTTGAGAAGTTAAGTGAATGTTTTGATTAGGTAAGCTCCCGTGTCACCGTAGGCATTTGTGGCTGTAAAGTTCAGATTCTCTAACACAACATGTGTACGCAGAGGCGTAGCGACCCTTCATGGCTCCCGGGGACAAACTTTCGATTGCACCCTCACCCCCCTCGAACTTTTGATTTGCACCCCCACCCCCTCAAACTTTCGATTTGTTTTTCCAACCCATTTTGGAGCCCCCCCCCCCCTAAGTTCGGCGCCGGGGCACATATGTCCCCCCCCCCTCGCTACGCCTCTGCGTGTACTGCAACAGACAAATCCGATATATCACCCATCAAGTCTACACCTCCCATAAACCACCTGTTTTCCTCCCCAGTGACTGTGTCGGCCATTGGCCCAAGTGCCCGCGACTTTATGGCCTTCATGCTGCAGGCCCGGTCAGAGTTTGGCCAGACGGCTGGCCACTTCGCTGAGGTCCCGATGGCCTCCAAGACGATGACGTGCTATGGCGATGACGACACACTGACCCACACAGCCGCCTTCATCAGGCCATCCATGGAGGTCACGTGGTACCCGCCTCCCAAAAATATCGGGAAAATTTCTATCACGTGAGCTAAAAGATATATACGATTTAATATTATATTTACAGTATGTCTGTGTATATTATTCTGTGTACGTTATATCTCTATTGCCAGTGTTGTGTGTGCATTAAGTCTCTATTGCCAGTGTTCTGTGTGCATTAAGTTTCTATTGCCACTGTTGTGTGTGCATTAAGTCTCTATTGCCACTGTTGTGTGTGCATTAAGTCTCTATTGCCACTGTTGTGTGTGCATTAAGTCTCTATTGCCACTGTTGTGTGTGCATTAAGTCTCTATTGCCACTGTTGTGTGTGCATTAAGTCTCTATTGCCACTGTTGTGTGTGCATTAAGTCTCTATTGCCACTGTTGTGTGTGCATTAAGTCTCTATTGCCACTGTTGTGTGTGCATTAAGTTTCTATTGCCACTGTTGTGTGTGCATTAAGTCTCTATTGCCAGTGTTGTGTGTGCATTAAGTCTCTATTGCCAGTGCTCTGTGTGACCAGTATCTGTGTAGCATCTGTAACAAACGAGATCTTTTTCTAACCTAACATACGAGTCCAACTGCCAATCGCTTTAGTTCCATATAATTTTCAACTACTACAACACTGTGCTATTGCACTAACCTTCTATACCGTATCACCTGTTGAAACTTCCTAAGCCAGTGCCTAAAGCTCCTTACACTTTTAAGTAAGATACCTACCCCCACTATTACACTCATCAAGTTAGCTTGATTACACCAACTATGTAAGCTTGATTACACTAACTATGTAAGCTTGATTACAGCACCTATGTAAGCTTGATTACAGCACCTATGTAAGCTTGATAACACCACATATGTAAGCTTGATTACACCAACTATGTAAGCTTGATCACACCAACTATGTAAGCTTGATTACACCAACTATGTAAGCTTGATTACACCAACTATGTAAGCTTGATTACACCAACTATGTAAGCTTGATTACAACAACTATTAAGCTTGATTACAACAACTATGTAAGCTTCTCTCTATTACCAGCGGCTCCATAGCGGTGTCCAAGGCGAAGTTCTGGGCAGTAGAGTCGGCAGCGATTCACGGAACTGGGAAGATGGACTTGTCCGGCGCTCCTTCAAGGCCGGGGGGTGGCAACGGAAGTCCCGGACTGGCCGGGCACGTGACCGGATGGACGCTGCTAGCTGTCGTCCTGGCAACCAAATTTTTTAAACTGTTTTAAAATTTCACAAACACCAAAACTCCGGCACTTTTAGTTAGTTTTTTCTGAACTTTTCTGCTAAAACAACACTATATTTTCAGAGGGAAGAATGAAGAAAAGAAGCGAAATAATTTTCACACGTTTTACGCGAGTCATGATTAGCTGTTGAAGATACTGGCGACTACCTATATTTTTAAACAAGACAATGTAAACAATCTATGCATGTACACATCAGTTATTCCTAAAGATTTAGTTTAAAAATGCGATTTTATTTAACTTGCAAAATTGTCAGAAAATTTTCCTGAATGAAAAAAATATTGTAATCGTGTTGTTGGGTTTTTTGTTTGTTTTATTTTAGTTAATTTTGTGTGTACCGTGTACGTTCATGTTTTATGTAACCTTATAATGTATAAAATACGACTATCAATAAATTATTTTTGTAGAGTTGTCTCTCATTATTCCTTGGTGCTCTGCCGTTTTTCAAAGGTGATCTATTTTTAGTACATGGACATATTTTTCTGTCATTTAAATGACGCGTTACATTTCGCTGATTTGTCGTCAAATTGTCCATGTGATCGCAATGTATTTCTAAATGTAACTTTAACGTATGTTATTGTATGTTTTTATGTGCCCAAAACTATAACAACGATAAATTCTTCGAAACTTTTGTCATTTTTTAAAAATATTGTGTAAATTTCTTAATCTGTTACAAGAAATAAAATAACTATGCAATTTAAAGTGTGTTTATGCTTGAAAGAAATTGCACAGCACGGAAATAGAAATTATATGAAAGGGTTGTTACACGACTGTATTGGGGGCTAAAAAGCTAAAGTTTAAATCATGGTAGATCTATTTTCTTGGTATTCTCGTGGTAAACTCGTGTTATTTTTGTGGTGTTCTCGTGGTATTCTCGTGGGTTTATTAAATTTATTTTTAACTTGCCAAACAATGGAAAAGTCCATGTTGACTCTAGCCATATCTCGTGTTTACTCAAGATTTCTCGCGAGATCTCATTTATAACTGTAATGTGGTGGGCGCAATAAAAAAACAGTTGTCCTTCCAGTGACTCTCCAGGATACGGGCGTCACGTGGGTTTCACATGGCTTTCCTCGCTGACGCTAAAAGCTAAGCATCAAACTGTTTGTGTAGTTCAACCGTTGCCCAGTCACTCAATCCGTACTCACCTGTTCAATGTCCGCCAGTGATCGATATGTTACAGGGCAGGTGAGTTCCGGGATGTAAGGTGGTGGAACCAGTTTGACCACACATGATATACATTTGTTGCACCAAACTGACCACGCAGGATATAAAGCGGTTGAACCAAACTGACCACATCAGGATATAAATTTGTTGCACCAAACTGACCACAAGGATATAAAGCGAGTGCACTAGACTGACCACACAAAGGATATAAAACTATGGAACCAGATTGATCTCATAGGTCAAGGTAAAATCTTCAAATGTGTATTTTCTGTGTCTTAAAGCTCATTAGCATTAATTATAGATTAATTAGTTAATGAAAGAACTAATTAGCGTGTTACCTTCATTAAAGTATGCGTGAAGTCGTGCTGTACTTTACAGAGTTATATTTCCATTAATCTACGCATCACATAGTCGACAGCTTTTTGTTTTGTAGAGATTTTTACTTTATACGAAGCATAGTGGAAGTATTAATGTAATTGTACGAAAAAAACTTTTCTTAACCCGGTCGGACTAGAAGTGCCGTCCCCACTTCTGTTTGGTTAGAATATGCGAGAATGTTTAGGGGAGATCACTCCCGCTTTATTTTTAACTAATACGTTGAAACGGTTATTTTTATTACAAGCTATTATTTAATTCGCCACGTCTGTTTGTTTGTGGGGTTGTGGCAAATCTTGTAACTTAATTTTGACCCACTTCTAATGCAGCGATTTCGTTCAAACTTTCAAGATATTTTCCACTTCGATAACAAGTCAATTTTTTAATTTAATTAGTTTTTTAATTAGTCATTACAAATTAATTAAACAGTTTCGAAACTAAGGAAAGATAAAGCAATAAAGTCACTGCTTTCACAGGGCAGATTAACATCTTTTAGATATCGCGAAATACTGATGGTGTTTTGAAGCGAATAATACTTCTAGAGAATAGATGAGGTGAGACTCTGACGTTTTTGTGATGGAGCCACATCATGTCGTCATGGAGAAACTTTGCATTTCTTCTCTACTAAACATTCCATTTCCTACAGCACGATAACGAATATTTGATCATAAACAAGGCACCAATTACAAAGCACATCCATCACGCGTTTATCGTTCTCCTATGTCGAAGTCGGAGCTTTACAAGTAGAAAAAAATGCCGATAACTAAATACCGAAAGTTGACAAACGCGATACCCTGACAGTCCTCTCAGTGGTTGCTAGAGTCCCAGCCTCCCAGTCAGTCGCTGCTCTTCACAGCACAAATGCCGTACATAAAAAATTAAAACTAAATTTTCCGGATAAAGAAATATTTTTTGTTGGTTGTGATTTCCAAAATTGCTACTTTTATACATCTTTTCCTTCACTCTATTCATGCAGCGTTGGTAGTTTTCTTCTGTTGGCTGTTTTCGGACAGTCGGCTGTACAGGGTTTCAGGACAGTCGGCTGTACAGGGTTTCAGGACAATCGGCTGTACAGGGTTTCAGGACAGTCGGCTGTACAGGGTTTCAGGACAGTCGGCTGTACAGGGTTTAATGTAAGGTAGGAGAGTAGTGTATAGGAGCTTAAAGAACAGAAGAGTTGTAATGTGTAAGGGAATGGGACTTACCGTGTAAGGTTAATACAGCAGGGAGCTTAATGTGTGGTGGGAGCTTAATGGTTAGATTGGTGAGTCATTGAACTGCGAGAGCTTAATGTTTAGACTGGTGAGTAATTGAACTGCGAGAGCTTAATGTTCTGCTGGAGTTAAAACTACACTCCGATTTCAGAGATCGAATAAAGTCTAGTAAATTACACTGCAGTGTTAGTACATTACACTGGAGTGTTAGTACATTACACTAGAGTGTTAGTACCTTACACTGGAGTGTTAGTACATTTCATTGGAGTTTTAGTACATTACACTGGAGTGTTAGTACATTACACTGGAGTGTTAGCACATTACACTAGAGTTTTAGTACATTACACTGGAGTGTTAGTACATTACACTGGAGTGTTAGCACATTACACTGGAGTGTTATTACATTACATTGGAGTGTTAGTACATTACATTGGAGTGTTAGTACCTTACACTGGAGTGCTAGTACATTACATTGCAGTGCTAGTACATTACACTGGAGTGTTTGTACATTACACTTTTGTGTCGGGAGTTCTTGTTGGGAGTTTTTTGACGGGGGCCTCTCTGACGGGGGCCTGAACTGTTTTGTCAGGAGCCATGTTGGCGCTAGACGAGTGTGGGGAGCCACATTTAGGCTCATCATTTGTCTCTCCTGCCACATGTGGCTCATTATTTTTTCATTAGACCCTGGGATATGACCAACCTTTTTTTATTCCACGGGAGGTAATCTAGAGATAGGCAACCTCATGTCAGTTAATGCCCTTGTTATATTTTAACTACGGGAACATTTGTCAAGTTTCCCTGCCGTATGTTTGTAAAATCAAACATTTGTGTGGATTATTCTCTGATTTTCTCTCCTCAATAGAAGTCACGCACTTTTGGCGTCACGACGCTCTGAGCTATGAGAAAACAAAACAACACGTATTTTCTCGAAATAATATTCCAAATTTTAACATTAGATTTGAGAGCTATTGACGTGTTTTCCAGTCAAAGTTCTGAGACGAAACAGTCTTCATTGAATTAGGGCCCTTGTTTGAATACAAAGCCCACCACAGCACAATGCCACTGAATCAAGCATTGTTGGGTTTTGTTCTCTGTTCCATGGCCTTCAACTAAATACTTTGTTTAGTGTGGTCAGGGTGGGGAGACGGGGGGAGGCATGTATGATATTTGATCACGTGAATAATTGATGTCGGCCTGCACGTGAATCTGCGGCCGCCATCTTGCCTGGCCAAACATGGGAGCTGCTCAAGTCGGTGTTCAAATTTACACAAGCGAAACTGGAGAGTGGTGACACAATTTACACAAAACTTTAGACTGGTGACACAATTTACATAAAACTTTAGACTTGTGAAACAATTTACACAAAACTTTAGACTGGTGACACAATTTACATAAAACTTTAGACTTGTGAAACAATTTACACAAAACTTTAGACTGGTGACACAATGTATACACAACTTAACACTGGAATCAGCATTTACACAAATTTAGATTAATGACACCATTTACATAAAACTTTAGACTGGTGACACAATGTAGACACAACTTAAGACTGGAATCACCATTTACACAAATTTAGATTAATGACACCATTTACAGAAAACTTTACACTGGTGACTCGATTTACACAAAACTTAACACTGGTGACTCGATTTACACACACTTTACACTGGTGACACCATTTACACAAAAGTTTACACTGGTGACTCGATTTACACAAAACTTTACACTGGTGACATCATTTGAACAAAACTTTAGACTGGTGACACAATTTACACAAAACTTTAGACTGGTGACACAATTTACACAAAACTTTAGACTGGTGACACAATTTACACAAAACTTTAGACTGGTGACACAATTTGCACAAAACTTTAGACTGGTGACAAAATTAACGACAATCATGGTTTATAGTGACCTTCAAGTTTAGCCTCAACTCCTGCATGTACCACTTAACCTTGAGACAAATGTCACCCTCCGTCCATGTTCTGTCACCGTGCCTACAGTTACCATTCTCATCAGCCATTTATGTTAATTAGTAAATTAAAATTAATGTTAATTAGTAAATTAAAAACTCACTTTGCAGATATGTACTCTTTTCTTTTAGAGGAAATCGTCTGATAAGATGACGTCATGGCTGAGGATGTTTGTGCTGGTCACGTGGTCAACTTCCTGTTTGACTTCCGGTAAGACTCAACGGTTGCCATGTCCGTGTGTACACGTTACACAACACTTATGTTGTCCACCAATATGTGTACCATTCATTTAGTAAATGGTGATACAGACCAGTACTTGTGTCCACTCATGTGTAAACCATGACGTCATACCATGACCGACTCTTGTGTCCTGCAGCTTGTGACGTCACCTCCCAGTGGTTCCCTGCAGGCGATGACCTGTGTCTGGCACTGTCCACGGACCTGGGACAGGTGCCTGTAGCCTGGCCCCAGGCACGCCACGTCTGCTCCACGCTGCAGCCTCGCTCTGACCTAGGCTCGTTTCCTTCTGCTGAACATGACGACATCCTGGCCTTCAGAATGACGTAAGTGTTACGTCAGAGTGTTTCGTTATGCTAGGCCCTGTACTGACTAGTATTATTTTTACCTCAGACATGATTTACTGCGTCAGTTTGCCTTGCCATCAGAGCTTCTTCCAGGCATCTTAGTAAACATACACTTTAACCAGTGTTTCTTCCAGACTTTTTTCTCCGGGGGGGGGGGGGGGGGGGGCACTTGAAGTTTTCGGGGGGGGGGGGGGGGGCGGTAAACTTTCTTCGGGGGGGGGGGCGGAGAATGTTAAAAGTATATATTTTCTATGTAAATTATATAAATTTCAGATCGTTCGGGGGGGGGGGGGCGGTAAAATTTTTTCGAAGAGATTCCTGGAAGAGACTCTAACTTTAACTAGCGTCACCCCCCCCCCCCCCCCCCCGAAAAAATGTTGACCGCCTCCCCCCCCCCCCCCCCCCCCGAAAATATCAAGTGCCCCCCCCCTCCCCCGAAAATATCAAGTGCACCCCCCCCCCCCCCGGAGAAAAGGGTCTGGAAGAAACACTGCTTGCCATGTTCGCTTTAGTATTACAATTTTCATCATCGGCTTGTGAAGACTGACACACGATTTACAATAGTAATACTTCTTTCTGTACATGTACTTTCACTCATTGAAGATGGTTTACTTATACATAATACAAAACGTCTATTTTATATTTAATCCTGGACATTTAAATTTGTGATGGTGATTTAATGGTATACTATGGTGAGAAGAAAACATATGAAATTTTCTTTTTCGGTTGGATGGGTAACAATGTTTCCCAGACTATTTTCTCCATGCGGGAACTTGAGATTTTCGGGGGGGGGGGGGGGGGGGGGGGCGTGGGCGGACACTTAAAGGTATATATTTTCTATATAAATTTCATTTCATTCGGAGGTGGGGGTTTGATTTAACGAGCTTACTATCAACTGATAGTGTAACAACATTAGGTTTTAAATACCAGATAAATGCACAGAAAAATGGTTTGATATGCAATCATGTTTGTAATAACATATTAAACTGAAAATTAATTCTTTCTTACAGACCACATACGTCGTACTGGGTAGGTCTGGCAGCATTTGATGGATCAATTGTCAATATGACCTGGTTAGATGGGTCAATAGAAGGTCAAGGGTCAAAGTTTATTTTATCTTCGGAGTTATCTCCCAGGTATTTCATGTGGTCGTTTCCCTTGTTTTTTGCTTTCATGTAAAATTTATAAAATCGTCATCCTGGTTACAGGAGAGTGACTTGCATGTACCTGTCTAGGTTAGTTAAACCTGTATGTACCTGTCGACCTTTAGTTTAACCTGTATGTACCTGTCTACTTTAGTTTAACCTGTATGTACCTGTCGACCTTTAGTTTAACCTGTATGTACCTGTCTACATAAGTTAAACCTGTATGTACCTGTCTTCTTTAGTTAAACCTGTATGTACCTGTCTACTTTAGTTAAACCTGTATGTGCCTGTCTACTTTAGTTAAACCTGTATGTACCTGTCTTCTTTAGTTAAACCTGTATGTACCTGTCTATTTTAGTTAAACCTGTATGTACCTGTCTTCATTAGTTAAACCTGTATGTACCTGTCTACTTTAGTTACACCTGTATGTACCTGTCTACTTTAGTTAAACCTGTATGTACCTGTCTATTTTAGTTAAACCTGTATGTACCTGTCTACTTTAGTTAAACCTGTATGTACCTGTCTTCATTAGTTAAACCTGTATGTACCTTTCTTCTTTAGTTAAACCTGTATGCACCAGTATACATTAGTTAAACCTGTATGTGCCTTCTACTTTAGTTAAACCTGTATGCACCTGTCTACATTAGTTAAACCTGTATGTACCTGTCTACATTAGTTAAACCTATATGTACCTGTCTATTTTAGTTAAACCTGTATGTACCTGTCTTCATTAGTTAAACCTGTATGTACCTGTCTACTTTAGTTAAACCTGTATGTGCCTGTCTACTTTAGTTAAACCTATATGTACCTGTCTATTTTAGCTAAACCTGTATGTACCTGTCTACTTTAGTTAAACCTGTATGTACCTGTCTTCATTAGTTAAACCTGTATGTACCTGTCTTATTTAGTTAAACCTGTATGCACCTGTATACATTAGTTAAACCTGTATGTGCCTGTCTACTTTAGTTAAACCTGTATGCACCTGTCTACATTAGTTAAACCTGTATGTACCTGTCTTCATTAGTTAAACCTGTATGTACCTGTCTACTCTGGTTGAACCAACACGTTTGTCTCCAGCCAAGATCAGCTGTGTGGTCACGTGACCCTACAGACCTACGCCCTCCATTACGAGCTGACCTGGACCCTGGACACGTGTGAGCTCCAACTGCCCTACATCTGCAGCACCCACCCAACCTCCCGTGAGTAGCTGACCTCATAAGTTAGTTCACAACACAAATTCTGTCGGTTTGTTTCGTTCACTTGATCCTTAAACATGTTTACATCGTTCCACTTTTTATTTCCTAGGCGCACGTGAAAAATGTAAACAGCTCAGTCGCGCGCATGCAAGCGGCGCATCGAGACACGCAGAAATGGCAGCTAAAGCAAGGGAAGCAACGCTGTCACTTCTCGCTGGCCTGCTTCACACGCCTAGCGTTAACACTGCCAGAGTTGCGCACCAGAAGCCTGCAACAGCTAGCGTTGCACACCATGAACATGCAGCAACCAAAATTGCACACCAGGAACATACAGCAAATTTTCATGCAAATCCTGGCCTTGAGCAAAGATTAGGCTCTAAAAGGCCATTGACCAGAGCGCGTTCACTGTTGGGTAGCTTAAACTTTAAGCTGCTGAGTCCGGCGAAGCTGCGCAACAAAACACATCCAGACCATTGGCATCACAGTGGCAGGTCTCCTACACACGGTTATAACTTTAATTCACACGAGAAATACTACACACAATCAATGTCACACCATCCACCTCATACAACACACCACATACCCCACACGCCACACCATCCACCCCACACAACACACCACCCACCCCACACAACACACCACCCACCCCACACAACACACCACCCACCCCACATATCCCACCACACAACACACCACCCAATTCACACATCCCGGCACACACCCCATACAACACACCACATACCACACACACCACACCATCCACCCCACACATACCACATACCCCATAAATTCAACCCCACACCCCACACAAGCCACCCCACACCCCACACAGCCCATCACACACCCCACATAACCCTTCCCACACCCCACACAAGCCACCCCACACCCAACACAAGCCACCCCACACCCCACATAACCCTTCCCACACCCCACACAAGCCAAACACGAAAGCCTGGCCTCCGTCGATCACGTGACCGCCGAGAGTCAGGTCACCCTGGCCCCAAGAGCCACGAATCGGACGACAACTCCTCCAAGGAAAACGAGCACAAGGGGAGTTTAACGCCCTTAGTGACAGCTAGATCAGGTACTGGCCGTCCATAAACAGCTAGATTAGGTACTGGCCGTCCATAGATAGCTAGATCAGGTACTGGCCGTCCATAGATAGCTAGATCAGGTACTGGCCGTCCATAGATAGTCTGGCCGTCCATAGATAGCTAGATCAAGTACTGGCCGTCCATAGATAGCTAGATCAGGTACTGGCCGTCCATAGATAGCTAGATCAGGTACTGGCCGTCCATAGATAGCTAGATCAGGTACTGGCCGTCCATAGATAGCTAGATCAGGTACTGGCCGTCCATAGATAGTCTGGCCGTCCATAGATAGCTAGATCAAGTACTGGCCGTCCATAGATAGCTAGATCAGGTACTGGCCGTCCATAGATAGTCTGGCCGTCCATAGATAGCTAGATCAGGTACTGGCCGTCCATAGATAGCTAGATCAGGTACTGGCCGTCCATAGATAGCTAGATCAGGTACTGGCCGTCCATAGATAACTAGATCAGGTACTGGCCGTCCATAGATAGCTAGATCAGGTACTGGCCGTCTATAGATAGCTAGATCAGGTACTGGCAGTCCATAGATAGCTAGATCAGGTACTGGCAGTCCATAGACAGCTAGATCAGGTACTGGCCGTCCATAGATAACTAGATCAGGTACTGGCCGTCCATAGATAGCTAGATCAGGTACTGGCAGTCCATAGATAGCTAGATCAGGTACTGGCAGTCCATAGATAGCTAGATCAGGTACTGGCAGTCCATAGACAGCTAGATCAGGTACTGGCCGTCCATAAACATTATAGATAGATCAGTCATTGGCCGTCTATACAGGTAGACCTGATGGCAAGACAACTGGCCGTCTATGTAGTTTGTGCAGTTGACTAAGTACAAGAAGAGCTGGACTGCTAACCCGTAAGTCTCGAGTTCGAATCCGGTTTCAAATCAGTAGACCGTCCCTGAGTTCACCCAACTCTGATGGGTACCTAACTCATGTTAGGGAAAGTAAAGGCGGCTGGGCATAGTGCTGACCACACTATCTCTTCATACGCCGAGGTCACAGAAACAAGTGAACTCTACTTCACTTGCCCCATAGACCGTCAGGTTTGAAAGGGAAACTTAACTTCAGTACAAGAAGATTGTTTCAACAAAGAAGCTTTTAAAGATCCTAGTTTTGTAAACAAAGCGATAAGCCATCTAATCTGGACTTACATACATCTATACTTGTTTATTTTTGTTCTTTTTACTTTCATACTTTTTCTGCTAGCTCCTTCCTTTCATCTGACTATCCATTTTATGGAGTAACCCATTCCTCCCCCCCCCCCTCTCCGTGCCCCTCCCTCTACTCTTGTGTAGATGGCACACCTCACGCAGGGGAGACGACGTCAGGTCACGTGGGTGTCACTGCTGGGAGTCACGGGCATGTCACAGTCCAGCAGACGTCACCTTCAAGTCAAGCGACGGCCACACCAAGTCAAGTGACGGCCACACCAAGTCAAGTGACGGCCACACCAAGTCAAGTGACGGCCACACCAAGTCAAGTGACGGCCACACCAAGTCAAGTGACGGCCACACCAAGTCAAGTGACGGCCACACCAAGTCAAGTGACGGCCACACCAAGTCAAGTGACTGCCACACCAAGTCAAGTGACTGCCACACCAAGTCAAGCGACGGCCACACCAAGTCAAGCGACGGCCACACCAAGTCAAGTGACTGACACGTCAAGTCACGTGACTGCCACACCAAGTCAAGCGACGGCCACACCAAGTCAAGTGACTCACACGTCAAGTCAAGCGACGGCCACACCAAGTCAAGTTACTACCACATCAAGTCAAGTGACTGCCACGTTAGGTCCGACAGTGACGCAAGAGATGACGTCACCAACACTTTCCAGCGACATTGTCCAGGTACCCGCTGTGTGGTCACATGTCAAGTTCTTGGTGTGTGGCACTATGCTGTCACTATGCTGTCACTATCATGTCACTATGCTGTCACTATGCTGACACTATGCTGTCACTATGCTGTCACTATGCTGTCACTATGCTGTCACTATGCTGGCACTATGCTGTCACTATGCTGTCGCTATGCTGGCACTATGCTGGCACTATGCTGACACTATGCTGGCACTATGCTGGCACTATGCTGGCACTATGTTGTCACTATCATGTCACTATGCTGTCACTATGTTGTCACTATGCTGTTACTATGCTGTCACTATGTTGTCACTATGCTGTCACTATGCTGTCACTATGTTGTCACTATGCTGTCACTATGCTGTCACTATGTTGTCACTATGCTGTCACTATGCTGTTACTATGCTGTCACTATGCTGTCACTATGCTGGTTTTGTTGTCACTATGCTGTCACTATGCTGGCACTATGCTGGCACTATGCTGACACTATGTTAGCATTATGCTGTCACTTGCTTCTTTATATTCAAGTTTGTCTCATTTGTGACGTCACTCCATTTGATTACGTGCAGTGCATTACGACATCGCAGTGTATGATCTCATCTTCTAATATGACGTCACTGAGTCATGAACAGGAAGTGGACATGATGACGTCATCTGCATTTCTTTTAGACGAAATGTCCAACTTCGTCTCGACGAGATCTCACATGAACTTAACCAACTTACTAACGGTAAATTTAACCAACTTAACCAACTTACTAACGGTAAACTTAAACAACTTACTAACGGTAAACTTAACCAACTTAACTAACTTACTAACGGTTAACTTAACCAACCTTACCAACTTACTAACGGTAAACTTAACCAACTTAATCAACTTACTAACGGTTAAGTTAACCAAATTACTAACGGTAAATTCCACCAACTTACTAACAGTGAATCAACTTAACTAGTCTACTTTTATAAGTGACCAATCAACTAAAGCGACGTCTAATATAAATATTTCTTATAAAATTTAAACAACCAATCAAATTATTTTTTTTAAATTTCCCCGACCAGAACTTTGCTCAGATCATTGACGTCACCCTACAGGTGTGTATTGTCAACAGCAGTGCTTGTACACAGCAGGTTAGTGTGTTCTCTGTGTGTGTTATGTGTATGTTGTATGTGATTCGTGTGCTATGTGTTTGAGTGCTTATTTCCGTGTGAGTTCTGATTATTCTTTGTGTCGTGTGTGAGTTCCATCTATGTCTATGTGTTTACTTTGTCTATTCTATGAGTTTTGTGTGTGTTGATCGTGTTCAATTTATGTGTCCTGTGTGTGTTGTGTGTCCTATGTGTACTGTGTCTGTGTGCTCAACGTGTCCTGTGTCTATGTGTGTACCATACCTCAGCACCACGGGTAACCAACACCACCTGCCCACAGCAAACTCTGAGGATGATATCCAGGGCTGAACGATTCCTTGACGGCGTCATGAAGGTCAAGGGTGCTGACATACAACAGGACTTCTCGCTGACTCTAGACAACATTGGTAGGTCAAACCTTATCACAAATGTGTTGACACTCAACTTCTGTTCGCTGACTCTAGACAACATCTTTTCCAGATATTTTCGTCACCCAGTCTGTGTATGGAGAGGTGGCAGGCAGGAAGTTGGTGCTGAAGACTGGCACAGTTTCCATCGAGGACATTTCAGTAGAGGACGGTACCAACACATCAGGTCAGTTGGTGTGTAGAGTTACGTCATCAACACATCAGGTCGGTTGGTGTGTTGTTGGCAGAGTTACATCATCAACACATCAGGTCAGTTGGTGTGTAGAGTTACGTCATCAACACATCAGGTAAGTCGGTGTGTAGAGTTACGTCATCAACACATCAGGTCAGTTGGTGTGTAGAGTTACGTCAGCAACACATCAGGTTAGTTGGTGTGTAGAGTTACGTCAGCAACACATCAGGTCAGTTGGTGTGTAGAGTTACGTCATCAACACATCAGGTCAGTTGGTGTGTAGTACGTCAGCAACACATCAGGTTAGTTGGTGTGTAGAGTTACGTCATCAACACATCAGGTCAGTTGGTGTGTAGAGTTACGTCATCAACACATCAGGTCAGTTCGTGTTGTTGGCAGAGTTACGTCATCAACACATCAGGTGTGTTGGTGTGTCTTGCTATACTTGGTTAAGTTAAACTGTTGACTTGAATTAACGACGTGACGACTTCAATTAACGACGTGACGACTTCAATTAACGACGTGACGACTTCAATTAACGACGTGACGACTTCAATTAACGACGTGACGACTTCAATTAACGACGTGACGACTTCAATTAACGACGTGACGACTTCAATTAACGACGTGACGACTTCAATTAACGACGTGACGACTTCAATTAACGACGTGACGACTTCAATTAACGACGTGACGACTTCAATTAACGACGTGACGACTTCAATTAACGACGTGACGACTTCAATTAACGACGTGACGACTTCAATTAACGACGTGACGACTTCAATTAACGACGTGACGACTTCAATTAACGACGTGACGACTTCAATTAACGACGTGACGACTTCAATTAACGACGTGACGACTTCAATTAACGACGTGACGACTTCAATTAACGACGTGACGACTTCAATTAACGACGTGACGACTTCAATTAACGACGTGACGACTTCAATTAACGACGTGACGACTTCAATTAACGACGTGACGACTTCAATTAACGACGTGACGACTTCAATTAACGACGTGACGACTTCAATTAACGACGTGACGACTTCAATTAACGACGTGACGACTTCAATTAACGACGTGACGACTTCAATTAACGACGTGACGACTTCAATTAACGACGTGACGACTTCAATTAACGACGTGACGACTTCAATTAACGACGTGACGACTTCAATTAACGACGTGACGACTTCAATTAACGACGTGACGACTTCAATTAACGACGTGACGACTTCAATTAACGACGTGACGACTTCAATTAACGACGTGACGACTTCAATTAACGACGTGACGACTTCAATTAACGACGTGACGACTTCAATTAACGACGTGACGACTTCAATTAACGACGTGACGACTTCAATTAACGACGTGACGACTTCAATTAACGACGTGACGACTTCAATTAACGACGTGACGACTTCAATTAACGACGTGACGACTTCAATTAACGACGTGACGACTTCAATTAACGACGTGACGACTTCAATTAACGACGTGACGACTTCAATTAACGACGTGACGACTTCAATTAACGACGTGACGACTTCAATTAACGACGTGACGACTTGAATTAACGACGTGACGACTTTCCCATCCAGCTCCTGCCGTCGTCTCTGCTGTGATTTTAAACCTGCCCAGAACCAGCGTCTGGCTGTCACGTGATGGGTGAGTACACAACGTCTGTCACGTGATGTGTGAGTACACAAGATCTGTCACGTGATGGGTGAGTACACAAGATCTGTCACGTGATGGGTGAGTACACAACAGCTGGCTGTCACGTGATGGGTGAGTACACAACAGCTGGTTGTCACGTGATGGGTGAGTACACAAGATCTTTCACGTGATGGGTGAGTACACAAGATCTGTCACGTGATGGGTGAGTACACAACAGCTGGTTGTCACGTGATGGGTGAGAACACAAGATCTGTCACGTGATGGGTGAGTACACAACAGCTGGCTGTCACGTGATGTGTGAGTACACAAGATCTTTCACGTGATGGGTGAGTACACAAGATCTGTCACGTGATGGGTGAGTACACAACAGCTGGTTGTCACGTGATGGGTGAGTACACAAGATCTGTCACGTGATGGGTGAGTACACAACGTCTGTCACGTGATGGGTGAGTACACAAGATCTGTCACGTGATGGGTGAGTACACAAGATCTGTCACGTGATGGGTGAGTACACAACAGCTGGTTGTCACGTGATGGGTGAGTACACAAGATCTGTCACGTGATGGGTGAGTACACAAGATCTGTCACGTGATGTGTGAGTACACAAGATCTGTCACGTGATGGGTGAGTACACAAGATCTGTCACGTGATGGGTGAGTACACAACAGCTGGCTGTCACGTGATGGGTGAGTACACAACAGCTGGTTGTCACGTGATGGGTGAGTACACAACAGCTGGTTGTCACGTGATGGGTGAGTACACAAGATCTTTCACGTGATGGGTGAGTACACAAGATCTGTCACGTGATGGGTGAGTACACAACAGCTGGTTGTCACGTGATGGGTGAGTACACAAGATCTGTCACGTGATGGGTGAGTACACAACAGCTGGCTGTCACGTGATGTGTGAGTACACAAGATCTTTCACGTGATGGGTGAGTACACAAGATCTTTCACGTGATGGGTGAGTACACAACAGCTGGTTGTCACGTGATGGGTGAGTACACAAGATCTGTCACGTGATGGGTGAGTACACAACGTCTGTCACGTGATGGGTGAGTACACAAGATCTGTCACGTGATGGGTGAGTACACAAGATCTGTCACGTGATGGGTGAGTACACAACAGCTGGTTGTCACGTGATGGGTGAGTACACAAGATCTGTCACGTGATGGGTGAGTACACAAGATCTGTCACGTGATGGGTGAGTACACAAGATCTGTCACGTGATGGGTGAGTACACAACATCTGTCACGTGATGGGTGAGTACACAAGATCTGTCACGTGATGGGTGAGTACACAAGATCTGTCACGTGATGGGTTAGTACACAAGATCTGTCACGTAATGGGTGAGTACACAAGATCTGTCACGTGATGGGTGAGTACACAAGATCTGTCACGTGATGGGTGAGTAAACAAGATCTGTCACGTGATGGGTGAGTACACAAGATCTGTCACGTGATGGGTGAGTGCACAAGATCTGTCACGTGATGGGTGAGTACACAAGATCTGTCACGTGATGGGTGAGTACACAAGATCTGTCACGTGATGGGTGAGTACAAAACAGACACATTCTGTGAAGGTTTAGTACACACCTGTGACAATTTCTGGAGTTTTATAATAGTTGGCGTTATTGTTAACGGGAGCCTAATTAAATGGCTGTATAGCACCATTGTACTACGTCACCTACTTGTATTAACTTAACAGTTGACACTGTGTTAAAACTCACGTTTCTCCCCCCCCCCCCTCCCCCCCCCCCCCCCAGCGGTGAGCTAGAGGAAGCGTCACTGGTCAGTCGGGTCCTGTCCCTCTCAGCCTGTGTGGACCAGACCAAGGCCAGCATCTCACACAACTTCTCTCTGATGGCATCGGCGGACAACGTGAGTACTTCACCTCTCTCAGTTACACCTGCACACACATACATGATGGGAGAATCATACAGTTACACCTGCACACACATACATGATGGGAGAATCATACAGTTACACCTGCACACATACATGATGTGAGAATCATGCAGTTACACGTACACACACATAAATGATGGGATAATCATGCAGTTACACGTACACACATACATGGTTGGAAAATCAAATATGTTACGTAACAATACATACAGTGACCAGTTTTAAATTAAAATAAATTTGTTTCAAACTTTTTTATAAAGAAAAATATCATTTAAAGGCTCGATATTTTTCTAGAAATGTCATTTGAGTTCATGTATCGTGATGACACATGTCATCAAATGTCGAATCCTTGTGATGAGTCATCATACGTTGAACCAAGTTTTTTTCTCCCCAGTTCCAACGGCTGGAACCTGTGTGTGGCTTTCAAACAGACAACAAAAGGTATCACGTGATAAGGGTCATGGTGTGGTCAGTTAGCACATGACAGGGGTCATGTTGTGGTCAGTTAGCACATGACAGGGGTCAGTTAGTTAGCCCGTAGCCGATTGGCGATTTGTGTCCAGTTAATTACTAATTTGGTGGACATTTGTCTCAGTATGTTACACCTGTGACCTACTTAGGTCGAGTCAGGTTCCATTTTTATTTTGACATTGTATAATACCTTATATGGAATGATTGTGCAACTCCTGGGGATTTTCCACTGTCGTATTAAGGGTGTCTAAGACTAAGAAATTTTCCATTAAGATCTGATTGAATGATTCTGATCATATGACCCTCCCAACCAATGGCTACATGAGTTGAGGATGACCTCCCCTGTGGCAGAAGTCTTTAATTGTTGTCAATACGCCTGACAGAAGAAGGAAACAGACAGTGTATCATGTTAACTCACTGAAAAAGTATTATGATAATTGTAACAATGTTCATTCCACAGCTAAAATTACTTTACCTGTATGTTCAAATGTTTCTGATGATGTGATACATGATAAATTGAAACCCCCAAAATTGGTAAATTCTTCCTTTTTAGATAATTTGAATGTCCACCTTATGCATTTGTCCACAGAGGAAAGCCATAGATTGTCTCAGTTATTTGAGACATTTCCCTCTATTTTTGGGGATGTCCCCAAAGAAGCGAAGGTTCCACCTCATGATGTAGACGTAGGTGACGCAAAACCCATTAAACAACACCCCTATAGAGTTAACCCGGAAAAAGCTGCTTTGATAAAAGATGAAATTGATTATATGCTCAAGAATGATATCATTGAGCCCAGTTTCAGCAGCTGGAGTTCCCCATGTCTCCTAGTACCGAAAGACGGTGGATCTTTCAGGTTTGTGACCGACTTTAGGAAGGTAAATGCGCTCACCAAAGCTGATTCCTATCCTTTACCTCGAATAGAAGACGTTATTGATAAAGTTGGTCAGGCTAAGATAATTTCCAAAATTGATTTACTTTCAGGATACTGGCAAATCCCCTTATCTGACCGTGCAAAAGAAATATCTTCCTTTGTAACCCCTGATGGTTTTTATAGATACAAACGTATGCCTTTTGGTATGCGCAATGCTGGTCAAACTTTCCAGAGGGTCATTAACTCTGTCATTGCTGACATAAACCAATGTGAGGCCTACATAGATGATATAGTTGTATTTTCTAATACTTTTGAAGAACATATTGTTCAGTTGACTAACCTTTTTAGAAAATTATCTGAAGTGAATTTTACTGTAAACTTACATAAAAGTAATTTCTGTAAAGGTTCAATTACCTATTTGGGTTATCAAGTGGGAACGAACCAAGTTCGGCCCATTGAAGCTAAAGTAGATGCTATTGTAAGGTTACCTCCTCCCAAAAATTGTAAAGAAATCAAAAAGTTCCTTGGGATGGCTGGTTACTATAGGCGGTTCTGTCAAAACTTTTCAGCTATTGCTGAACCTCTTACTGCATTATTGAAAAAGGGTGTTGAGTTCGAATGGTCAGATAAATGTCAAGAAGCTTTTTTAACCATTAAGTCATTTTTATCTAATGCTCCTGTTATGGCGGCCCCAGATTTCAGCAAGCCCTTTAAACTTGCCATTGATGCTAGCAACTTAGCCATTGGCTCAGTCCTATTTCAAGAAGACAACATGGGAATTGACCATCCCATTGCTTTTTTTTCCAGGAAGTTAAATGAGAACCAAAAGAATTACTCTACTATTGAAAAAGAGGCTTTAGCTTTGGTTTTGTCATTACAACATTTTGAAGTCTATGTCTCTTCTTCAACCAATCCGGTCAGAGTGTTTTCTGACCATGATCCCCTGAAATTTACCTCTAAGTTAGGACAGACAAATCAAAGAATATTGAGATGGTGCTTATATTTCCAAAATTTTAATCTGGAAATTTCACACATTAAGGGTAGTGATAATGTTGTGGCTGATTGTTTGTCAAGGATGTAAAATCTTATTGTACACATTGATCATGTGACATGTTTTGTGGTTCATTGGGGCCATACTCAAGTGTTGTGTTTTAACATGGAAATGAGTGGTATGATTTTTGATTTTTTCAAAATTCCTTTCCTGTTGAATATTTTGTTTATTTTCAGGTGAACCTTAATTAAAGGTGGTTTTTGATTATATGTAATCTTTTATAATAATATGTCTCATATGACTCAGTTGATATTGTAGCTAGTCATTGAAATAAAGGTCTTACCCTGGCGGGTTTACCACTTTAATATCCACATGGAAATATTGTAATACCCTTTTCTGAGGGATTTTGATGTATAATTACTTTTTGAAGGGTTACTCCCCTTTCGCCAATTGTAAAAGGTTGAGTTACTTCCCTTTTATGTTCAGGGATATTTTCATCTGGTATTAAGATTTTGATTGACTACATTTGTAAAACATTTTTTTTATTTCATTGCCAGATTGGTTCCTTATGTATGCTTTTGTGGAACCTATCTGTCACTTCCAAAAAGGGAGGGGATGTGACCTACTTAGGTCGAGTCAGGTTCCATTTTTATTTTGACATTGTATAATACCTTATATGGAATGATTGTGCAACTCCTGGGGATTTTCCACTGTCGTATTAAGGGTGTCTAAGACTAAGAAATTTTCCATTAAGATCTGATTGAATGATTCTGATCATATGACCCTCCCAACCAATGGCTACATGAGTTGAGGATGACCTCCCCTGTGGCAGAAGTCTTTAATTGCCCCGCACACCCGCCACACGTGGCAGTTTTACCTTGATCAAGAGTCTACCTGGAACAAACGGTCCATTACGACCAAGCCGTCCATATTGTCCGGCAATAGATTCTGACCATTTGAACGTGAGAGAACTTGAGTCCTGTGTGTGCCTTGCTTTCTTAAGTTGATTTAGTCTTCTAGTATAATATTACTTGTCGCCAAGTAATTCTTGAAGCTATAGCAGTGTTGTGTGGCCTGTGGCTAGTTTTTACAGTGGTGAAATCTGTGATAGTGTTTTTTCTTACATTTTGTAAGTTGGGTTTTGATATTTTATACATTAAATATTTTATCTAGTTTAACTTTGTGTTCTGCCACAACTGTGTTCGCTTATTAAAGGTTGTATGCAGATTGGATGAGTGTTAATTTCAATAGTATCACTAGTTTTCCCTAGACATCGAATTCGAGCCCTAGTGTGCCGTTGTGTTAGTGTTCATCCATTTAGGCCGTAAGGCATTTGCATATAACCCCGAAAAAAGAATCCGGGGACGTTCTCCTTCTATCTGGCTGATAGATAGGTAAACGTTACACACCCAATAGTTATTGGTAAAGGAAATCAAACTTGAAGGTCTATTTATAGATTAGGTTTTTATGATGTTTCAGCCGAGACATCTGGGATACTTTTGGCTGTCGTCTGCTGAACCACACAGGTGACGCTGTCCAGACGACAGGATGTCACGTGGTACCAGACGGGAACAACTGCAGCCAGCCATCTCACGCGGTGGACTGTCAGTGCAACCACACGACCAACTTCGCCATCTTGATGCAGATCGTAGACTTCCAGGTAAGGCCAGAGCCATATTTCATGAAGGATTTAATTGAGTAGAATCCCTTTCTCTTTCTGCCCTGTCTGATTCACTGTCTGCCCTCTCCCATTCACTGTCTCACCTATCCCATTCACTATCTGCCCTATCCCATTCACCATCTGCCCTATCCCATTCACCATCTGCCCTATCCCACTCACCATCTGCCCTATCCCACTCACCACCATCTGCCCTATCCCATTCACCATCTGCCCTATCCCATTCACCATCTGTCCTATCCCACTCACCATCTGCCCTATCCCACTCACCATCTGCCCTATCCCATTGACAGCTGAGTGTGAGTGACGAGCTAGTGCTCAGCATCATCACCTACATAGGTTGTGGTGTGACCTTGGTGACCCAGGTCATGGCTATAACAGTTTTTACCTGCATCCGGTAAGTAGTCGGAAATATTTCTAACAACAACTATTATCATCCACATATCTACCTACCCAAAAGACGTAAACTGTCACCCCTATCCCAGGTCACTGAGTAAACTGTCACCCCTATCCCAGGTCACTGAGTAAACTGTCACCCCTATCCCAGGTCACTGAACTCGGAGCGCGTGTGTGTCCATAGAAACCTGTGTATCTCCATCATGGCCGCCCAGCTGACCTTCATATGCGGGATCAAGGCCGTCAGCAACAAGGTAGGTCCTAGACTGTTCCCTAGCAACAAGGTAGGTTCTAGACTGTTCCCTAGCAACAAGGAATTAGGTCGATGTCTAAAGGACTACAGCTAATATGATTGGAATCAATGCAGCTATTACTACAATCAATATGAATCAATATGACTGAATCAATATGACTGAATCAATATGACTGCAATCAATATGACTAAATCAATATAACTAAATCAATATGACTGAATCAATATGACTGAATCAATATGACTGAAGCACTATGAGTGAGCAGTATGAGCGAGATAGATGCAACTGATCCACATGACTGTGCCCCCACAGCTGCAGTGCGCCATTGTGGCTCTGTGCCTGCACTACTTCTACACGGCCTCCTTCGTCTGGATGCTGGTGGAGGGCATTCACCTCTACAACCAGGTCGTCACTGTCTTCGGCACCGAGAGGTCAAGGACGGTCTACTACATCGTCTTCGGCTGGGGTAACCTTTGCTCTATCACGTGATGGGGTAACCTTTACTGTCACGTGATGGGGTGACCTCAGTTACGTGATGGGGTTACATATTGTCACGTGGCGTGGTAACCTCTTCTACGTGGCTGGTAAACTTTGTCACGTGATGGGGAGGCATTTTGTCTGTCACTTGGTAGCACCTATGTATATATATATATATATATTAACATTTAGTTGTTATATTATGATGCGATGTCTTTTGAATTTAAAATATTGTGTAGTTTTATTATGAAGATGAATGATGACTGGACCTATTGTAACTTGTAAAGACATCGAAAGTTCTGGTTTGTTGTGCAGGTGTCCCTGTAATATTGGTGGCCATATCAGCTGCTGTTGACTGGGAGGGCTATGGCACGGCCTACAGGTAAGTCTTTCCTTTGGCCACATACAGGCATCAGATCTTTTATTGTACACCTGATTCACATACCTTTGTTCAATATCTGCTAAGAATAGTTTTTTAACATTAAATATTTCTTGTTATTGTTCGAGTCCATTATTTGTATCACTGTGTGTTTCTCTTGCTAACCCAACCCTCCCCCTCCCCCTCCCCCTTGTTGTACCAGCTGTTGGCTGTCTGTGCAGCGGTCAACTATCTGGGCCTTTGTCAGCCCCGCCATCGCTGTGATTATTGTAAGTATAAAGTTTACCACAGGATTATTGTAAGTAGTGAGTTGACCACAGGATTATTGTAAGTAGTGAGTTGACCACAGGATTATTGTAAGTAGTGAGTTGACCACAGGATTATTGTAAGTAGTGAGTTGACCACAGGATTATTGTAAGTAGTGAGTTGACCACAACATTATTGTAAGTATAAAGTTGACCACAGGATTATTGTAAGTAGTGAGTTGACCACAGGATTATTGTAAGTAGTGAGTTGACCACAGGATTATTGTAAGTAGTGAGTTGACCACAACATTATTGTAAGTAGTGAGTTGACCACAGGATTATTGTAAGTAGTGAGTTGACCACAGGATTATTGTAAGTATAAAGTAGACCACAGGATTATTGTAAGTATAAAGTTGACCACAACATTATTGTAAGTAGTGAGTTGACCACAGGATTATTGTAAGTAGTGAGTTGACCACAACATTATTGTAAGTATAAAGTTGACCACAGGATTATTGTAAGTAGTGAGTTGACCACAGGATTATTGTAAGTAGTGAGTTGACCACAGGATTATTGTAAGTAGTGAGTTGACCACAACATTATTGTAAGTAGTGAGTTGACCACAGGATTATTGTAAGTAGTGAGTTGACCACAGGATTATTGTAAGTATAAAGTAGACCACAGGATTATTGTAAGTATAAAGTTGACCACAACATTATTGTAAGTAGTGAGTTGACCACAGGATTATTGTAAGTAGTGAGTAGACCACAGGATTATTGTAAGTATAAAGTTGACCACAGGATTATTGTAAGTAGTGAGTTGACCACAGGATTATTGTAAGTAGCAAGTTGACCACAGGATTATTGTAAGTATAAAGTTGACCACAGGATTATTGTAAGTAGTGAGTTGACCACAGGATTATTGTAAGTAGTGAGTTGACCACAGGATTATTGTAAGTAGTGAGTAGACCACAGGATTATTGTAAGTATAAAGTTGACCACAGGATTATTGTAAGTAGAAAGTTGACCACAGGATTATTGTAAGTATAAAGTTGACCACAGGATTATTGTAAGTATAAAGTTGACCACAGGATTATTGTAAGTAGTCAGTTGACTACAGGATTATTGTAAGTAGTCAGTTGACTACAGGATTATTGTAAGTAGTGAGTTGACCACAGGATTATTGTAATTAGTGAGTAGACCACAGGATTATTGTAAGTAGTGAGTTAAAAAATGCAAGTAGTAAAACACATGTCACCACTGACAAAAGGACATGTCACCACTGACAAAAGGACATGTCACCATTGACAAAAGGACATATCACCCCTAACAAAAGGACATGTCACCACTGACAAACGGACATATCACCACTGACAAAAGGACATGTCACCACTGACAAAAGGACATCACCACTGACAAAAGGACATGTCACCACTGACAAAAGGACATCACCACTGACAAAAGGACATGTCACCACTGACAAAAGGACATCACCACTGACAAAAGGACATGTCACCACTGACAAAAGGACATGTCACCACTGACAGGTGAACCTTGTCATCCTGGTCCTGGTACTGAGGATTGTCGTCAACTCGTCCACCAAACACGAAGATTTGAATCACATCAAGTAGGTGCTGTTAGTCTGCCCAGTACATGTCACTGTTGTACGTAACTTATTACGGTTCGCAAATTACCAAATCCACTCGTTGATTCTCTCACTTTAACGATTCTTTACCCGCCCTAAAAAATACTGAATTTGCCACTAGATGGCGCTAGACATTTAATATTACCAACACTAAAGTCCCCTTTAACACCACTCAACACACACATAGTGTGTGGTTAATACTCAGTATGTCACATAGCCATATGGTGATGTTGTCGTCTTTATCCATATGGTGATGTTGTCGTCTTTAGCCATATGGTGATGTTGTCGTCTTTAGCCCTATGGTGATGTGGTCGTCTTTAGCCCTATGGTGATGTTGTCGTCTTTAGCCCTATGGTGATGTTGTCGTCTTTAGCCCTATGGTGATGTTGTCGTCTTTAGCCATATGGTGATGTTGTCGTCTTTAGTAGCCATATGGTGATGTGGTCGTCTTTAGCCCTATGGTGATGTTGTCGTCTTTAGCCATATGGTGATGTTGTCGTCTTTAGCCATATGGTGATGTTGTCGTCTTTAGCCATATGGTGATGTTGTCGTCGTTAGTAGCCATATGGTGATGTTGTCGTCTTTAGCCATATGGTGATGTTGTCGTATTTAGCCATATGGTGATGATGTCGTCTTTAGCCATATGGTGATGTTGTCGTCTTTAGTAGCCATATGGTGATGTTGTCGTCGTTAGCCATATGGTGATGTTGTCGTATTTAGCCCTATGGTGATGTTGTCATCTTTAGCCATATGGTGATGTTGTCATCTTTAGCCATATGGTAATGTTGTCATCTTTAGCCATATGGTGATGTTGTCATCTTTAGCCATATGGTAATGTTGTGAATGATAGAGGATCATGTGTACGAGTCTCCTATATAATTCTGCTCTCACACCTCACCCCACCCACCCCGTGTTTCCTCCACTATGGACTGTGCACGTGCTGCACCCACCAGAGCCGGCATCAAGGCCAGCCTCTTCCTGACACCTCTGCTAGGGTTAACTTGGACATTCGGCATCGTCGCTGTCAACAAACAACTCGTCGCTTTCCAGTACATCTTCGCCATCCTCAACTCTTTACAGGTTCAAATTTACATCTTCGCCATCCTCAACTCTTTGCAGGTTCAAATTTACATCTTCGCCATCCTCAACTCTTTACAGGTTCAAATTTACATCTTCGCCATCCTCAACTCTTTACAGGTTCAAATTTACATCTTCGCCATCCTCAACTCTTTACAGGTTCAAATTTACATCTTCGCCATCCTCAACTCTTTACAGGTTCAAATTTACATCTTCGCCATCCTCAACTCTTTACAGGTCAAAATTTACATCTTCGCCATCCTCAACTCTTTACAGGTTCAAATTTACATCTTCGCCATCCTCAACTCTTTACAGGTCCAAATTTACATCTTCCATCCTCAACTCTTTACAGGTCAAAATTTACATCTTCACCATCCTCAACTCTTTACAGGTTCAAATTTACATCTTCGCCATCCTCAACTCTTTTCAGGTTCTAATTTACATCTTCGCCATCCTCAACTCTTAACGGTTCAAATTTACATCTTCCATCCTCAACTCTTTATAGGTTCAAATTTACAGTACAGCTTCCTATTTCCTTTACACTTTCATTTAAAGCATATCTTCTTGATCCGAACCTTTTAAAAAGTTACCCCCAACTTTACTGACATAAACGCTGTTTGCTGCTTTCCAGACAAACACACACACAATTTGTTACTGTCAATGTTATACACACTTAAACTTTGTTTTCATTTACAGGGATTTTTCATCTTCTTTTTCCATTGCGCTTTAAATTCAGAGGTAAGCCATTAAAATCTTGAAGGGGAAGGGGGGGGGGGGGGGATTGAGCAGCTTTTCGTGCTGTTCTTGTATTTGTATTTGTCTCATTTAAATTTGGCCTGGACTTCTTACAATTTATCTGGCACAAAAAATTTGTCTTCAGTATTTCTCGCAGCTCCAAGGCTTGTAGCAAAATGGCGTGTTCTAGAGAACTAGTTAAATCAAATTCTCCACTTATTGCTTTTTTTTTAAACGGCTCAGATCTAAGAAAAAAAGTCTTCCGACGTACAATATATTAATGTGTTAATTTCTTATGTGAGTGCATTATTTAGGGATTGTATGTGCACAGTGGCGTAGCGAGGTCGGGTGTCCAAATTTTCGATTTGCACCCCCCCCCCCCCCGGCTCAAGTTTTTTTTTTTTGCCTTGGTGTCACCCCCTAAATGGTGTCACCCGGTACGGTCCGCACCCCCCCCCCCCCGCCTCGCTACGTGTGCACACGTATTTCCGTATTTACATTTGTTTACTACTGTTTGTTTACTTGAGTGTTTCCATTGTATTGATGTGCATTAGCATTAGGATGTAATTTGGTGTACACAGTCGTGCAGTGGCGATAATTAAACAGCAAACATTGCACGCTTTGTGCACGAGCTTCTGGCCTGTCTGATAATTTCATTAGACCCGCCCCGCCTTTCTTCCATTCCATCGCGAGATTAGCATACGACAGCCTACATCTGCTGAGGTCGTTGTGACACACATGTTGTTCTGGGCGTGTTCAAAAAAATTGTTTCTGGACGTTTTTTACACTCTAAGGCATTACACTGTGATGTTGTTCCCAATGGTAGGCCGAAATGTTGTGTAGGCCGAATTGATTTCTAGGCCGAATTGATTTCTAGGCCGAATTGATTTCTAGGCTGAATCGATTTTTAGGCCGAATTGATTTCTAGGCCGAATTGATTTCTAGGCCGAATTGATTTCTAGGCCGAATCGATTTCTAGGCTGAATTGATTTCTAGTCCGAATTGATTTCTAGGCCGAATCGATTTCTAGGCCGAATTGATTTCTTGGCCGAATTGATTTCTAGGCCGAATTGATTTCTAGGCCGATTCGATTTCTAGGCCGAATTGATTTCTAGGCCGAATTGATTTCTAGGCCGAATTGATTTCTTCCGAAATGTTAAGTAGGTGTAGTCCTAAATGCTTTAAATGCCGGAATATTTTGTATTTTGGTGTCTTTAAACCTGTATTTAACTGACGATTGTTCTAATGTCATGAACCCTGTATTACCTGACTATTGTCATGAACCCTGTATTACCTGACTATTGTCATGAACCCTGTATTACCTGACTATTGTCGTCGTGAACCCTGTATTACTTGACTATTGTCGTCGTGAACCCTGTATTACCTGACTATTGTCATGAACCCTGTATGACCTGACTATTGACATGAACCCAGTATTACCTGACTATTGTCATGAACCCTGTATGACCTGTCTATTGACATGAACCCAGTATTACCTGACTATTATTGTCATGAACCCTGTATTACCTGACTATTATTGTCATGAACCCTGTATCACCTGACTCGTCATGAACCCTGTATGACCTGACTCGTCATGAACCCTGTATGACCTGACTATTGTCATGAACCCTGTATGACCTGACTATTGACATGAACCCAGTATTACCTGACTATTATTGTCATGAACCCTGTATGACCTGACTCGTCATGAACCCTGTATGACCTGACTCGTCATGAACCCTGTATTACCTGACTATTGTCATGAACCCTGTATTACCTGACTATTGTCATGAACCCTGTATTACCTGACTCGTCATGAACCCTGTATTACCTGACTATTGTCATGAACCCTGTATTACCTGACTATTGTCATGAACCCTGTATGACCTGACTATTGCCACGAACCCTGTATGACCTGACTATTGTCATGAACCCTGTATGACCTGCCTATTGTCATGAACCCTGTATGACCTGACTATTGTCATGAACCCTGCTGACTATTGTCATGAACCCTGTATGACCTGACTATTGTCATGAACCCTGTATGACCTGCCTACCGTATCGAACAGGTCCGACAGTCCATCAAGAGACTCCGGAAGAGGCGGGCGCTGCTCAATGAAGAGTTCCGCTCGTCCGTGTCCACCCAAGGTCGCCCGTCCGTGTCCACCCAAGGTCGCCCATCCTCTGGTGTAAGTGGCTAAATATATCTGTGACGTCAGGCCACGTGAGCCTCACGTGATCTGACAGCCCTGGCTATCATGGAATATTAGTTTACCTGCTGTCATTTCCCGTTATGCCAATCTTGTGATGTCTCTTGACGTTTTGTGATGTTTGTTGACGTCTATTTTTGCCTAGTTGTCTAATGTCAGTGGTTGGTTTCTAATGTCAGTGATTGGTGTCTAATGTTAGTGGTTGGTGTCTAGTGTCAGTGGTTTGTGTCTAATGTTAGTGGTTTGTATCTAATGTCAGTGGTTGGTGTCTATTGTCAGTGGTTGATCTCTAATGTCAGTGATTTGTGTCATCTTTGTATCACAGGATTCGCGGTCGTCTGATATGACTCCAGTTACGTTCGTCCAAAATTTGGTGAAAAAACACAACAAAGTCGGCAGCTCGTTAAAAGACTGTTAGACAGGTGCATCACTGGGAGGAACAGGTAACTGAATTTTTACACTTAGACAAACAAATTAAAACGGTGACAAGCTTCAATAAACGGATGGGGTCAAAGGTTGACCCTCAACGACTTTAACATTTTTTTTTAAACTGTAACGGGAAATACGTTACGTCTCCACCGAAAGACTTTTTTGACGGGAGCCAGTTTGTCCGAATCACATTTTTCAGAGGCTTTACTGTTAGAGGCCCTTTTGATGGGACTAATTTGACTATGGACCGTTTCAGTAGGGTACAGTGCTTATACGCCGTTTGAGCTAATGTGCATAAGTACTAAGTACTTCCAGAGCTGGTCTGGTACCTTCATGTATTTATCTTTTTTTAAAAATGTGTCTACTCTTTAGAAAGCTAATTACAGACCATGTATGGGAAAGTTTTCCAGAAAATCTGTGTGGTGAAACTTTTCCAGAGATTTTGTGTGGCGGAAAGTTTTCCAGAAACTTTGTGTGGGGGAAAGTTTTCCAGAAACTTTGTGTGGAGGAAAGTTTTCCAGAAACTTTGTGTGGGGGAAAGTTCGCCTGAGACTTTGTGTGGGGAAGGGATGTGTGGGTGTGGACCACGTGACCATGCGGAGAGCCAGCACGTGGAAGCCCACGAAACGTGAACTGTTCCATACAAGGTTCCAAGATGTGCCATACAAGGTTCTAAGATGTGCAGGAGTTGTATTTGTGCACTGGATGTTTACACTTGAGACTCATAACAAAATGTCTTCTTTGTGTGCAATAAATGGTGGATCACATTCTTTGTTTTCTTTTAGTGTCGACGGGTTTTGGTGCACTAATAACACATTGTATTTATATATATATATATATATATATATATATATATATATATATATATATATATATATATATATATATATATATATATAGTAAACAGCCGACGTGAATAATTTGAAAAATATTAAAGCCATTAAATCAGTTCCAGTTCTATAAAGTCAATTTTAATAGATTTCTTTTTTCATCACAAGAATTATGAATGAAATAACTAGTCCAGTTAAATGTGAACATATTTTGAAACAATTTCACTCCCCCATTGCATTAGCAACCCCTCCCTGACTGTACCGTAAAGCCATCCGAAAAAGAAAATTCTCTACTTTGGACCACCAATATTTCTTGCTTGGTTGCTCCATAGACGGGCAGGCTGCTAGCACTCAGCTGAAAGGTAAAGGCAAAGGTTAATTTAACAAACCTAACACAACATAAACCTAACACAACATAAACCTAACACAAAATAAATCTAACACAACATGAAAATACTAACATAACATGAACACACTAACACAACATGAAAATACTAACATAACATGAAAACACTAACACAACATGAAAACACAAACACAACATGAAAATACAAACATAACATGAAAATACTAACACAACATGAAAACACAAACACAACATGAAAATACTAACATAACATGAAAATACTAACACAACATGAAAATACAAACATAACATGAAAGTACTAACACAACATGAAAACACAAACACAACATAAAAATACTAACACAACATGAAAACACAAACACAACATGAAAACACAAACACAACATGAAAATACTAACACAACATGAAAACACAACATGAAAATACTAGCATAACATAAACATACTAACACAACATGAAAACACTAACACAACATGAAAACACTAACACAACATGAAAATACTAAAATCACATGAAAATACTAACATAACATGAAAACACAAACACAACATGATAACACTAACACAACATGAAAACACAAACACAACATGATAACACTAACATAACATGAAAACACTAACACAACAGGAAAATACTAACACAACATGAAAATACTAAAATAACATAAAATATTATAGTACACATCGGGCCTAGATTCAATTACCAACACAACATTAAAACTAAAAACAATTTAGTCTAAATCTAAAAAAAATTAATTTACAATGAGGACTAAACTAAAATCAATTTAGTCTACTATGAAAGCAAAAATAAAACAAAAAACATATGTAAGGGGATTTGGCATCCAATATGTGCAGACATGTATGGAAGGGGATTTGACATCCAATATGAATAGACATGTATGGAAGTAGATTTGACATCCAATATGTGCAGACATGTATGTTGGGGGATTTGACATCTAATATGTGCAGACATATGTATGGAAGGGGATTTGACATCCAATATGAATAGACATGTATGGAAGGAGATTTGACATCCAATATGTGCAGACATATGTATGTTGGGGGATTTGACATCTAATATGTGCAGACATATGTATGGAAGAAGATTTGACATCCAATATGTGCAGACATATGTATGTATGTTGGGGGATTTGACATCTAATATGTGCAGACATATGTATGGAAGGGGATTTGACATCCAATATGAATAGACATGTATGGAAGGAGATTTGACATCCAATATGTGCAGACATATGTATGGAAGGAGATTTGACATCCAATATGTGCAGACATATGTATGGAAGGAGATTTGACATCCAATATGTGAAGACTCCTCGTGGAGTATAGGAGGTCCTATACTCCACTAGGAGTAAAGAAGTCAGTAAGTCATATGCTGGCATGGAAGGGATTTGACATACGTGAAGTCGTGTGTATGGTGGTGCTATGACATCCTGTATGTGAAATTACATTGCCATATAAAGAAATGGCAGTTTACAAAAAACACTAGCCATCGGTACCCGTAACACGGGCTATTCTGGTGAATTTTAGCTCTCTGCTCTTTACATACATATAGGCTGATAGGCTGCCCAGTTTTTTCTTATAAATATTTAACTCCGGGGAGTGGCACTTAAAACTTTCCGGTGAAGGGAGGGGGGGGGTAGCGGATACTGGTTTTTCTATATTTATGTTTAGATCTATATATTTTAATTAAATAGTTCATTTCTTCATTGGTAACCATCAATTATAGAAAATATTAAACTTGTTTGAGAAATATATTTTATATTTATTTTATAAAAAATGTACTGGTCAAAACGCAATGTGCTTTACTACACGTTGAACGATATTACTGGCAAAGCAAAGAAATAACTAAATAGCTAAACAAATCGACACATTTAAAATAGAAACTTAAAATTAAGAGATTTAAGTGATGTCGTTAAAAACCCGAGTTTTCAATGGTAGTTATGTTGTTTTTGTCTTTTAAAAACACCTATTACGGCTGAGCATGGGTCTGACCACACAATCGCTTCATATGCTGAGAAGACAGAAACAGGTGAACACTACTTCACCTGCCACGTGTACCGCCAAGTCCCGATAGGCAACTTTATCATTCACATCAAAAAAAAATATTTAAGATTAACGTAGTGTGTCTCGAACTCGTACCACCTGCATGGTAACTATTACACTGTCATCTCAGCTATTTAGGCACGAGAGCGTAAATGGTGAATAAATGGGATATTTAGGAAACCTAAGTTACGCGAATACGCCCTATTATTTCAAATGAAATTAGTCAATTCCATAGCTAAGCAAACAAAGATTTATATAAAATAATCAAGGCCTGAAATAGTTTAGTATAGAAACTCATTATCGGCGTACGTCTTGATAAGTAGATCTAAATCAAATTTGAATGAAATAGTTCATTTCTTTATATTTGAAATTGGAAGATGACGCCATTAGTTTTGTGTATTTTCCTTCGTGTGACGTCATTATTTCTTACGTTCTTGTCACGACAATAAATGCTTTAGTTAGAAATCTGATTTACATTCGAATATGCCTTACTTTTATTTTCCTTCTTTGAATAAAATCTAGTTTATATACTTATACCGTCCACCATATTATTTTCAACAATAGTCCGTATTTTTAAGTTCTCCATTTATCGCTGAACAGGCTGACGACGTTGCCAAAAATATTGCGGACAGAGAGAGAGAGAGAAGTGAGCACATGGGCTTTTATATATTAGGATAAACTTAAAAAATGTATAGGTTGTTAAAATGTGTTAGATATTTTATGAGCGAACAATGCTGTTATTTTTTTTTTTAAACTAGTTTTTTTATTTAATTTATTTTTATTTTCAGTGAATTTTAAAAGTTTATGATAAAGTCGTTTTTATTATCTGTTTACTTTCTACTTGTTAGTGATTCCTTCTTAATTGTCCACATACGACTAATATATAGTTGCTTTAGCTTGCGATCTTTTAAAGTCCATTATCTCCCCCTTCTTAGTTTGTGGTCGACTCTCCCACAAGAAACTGACCAACCGTGACCCACACTTCACTGTCGTCGGCCATCTGACCGAGCGATCGCTAGATTTTTTTCTTGTTACCTTTTTATTTTATTTCTGAGTCATTTAATATTTTACTTGAATTATACGGACTCACCTAATGTCTAATAAGATTTAAAAATAGATATGCTTGCATTGTCATCGGAAAATAATGTTTCCGGACAGCTTGAACGAAATCACAGGTTATTGTGTATAGAAATCATATATTTTTACTTTCTATTATACAAATTATAGAGGAAGTGTTACAATTTTGCAAAAAAATCGAAATCGAGATTTGTCAAAATCTCGACGTTTCGGAAATACAAAATGTAGCAATTTTGTCTGTATGTCTGTCTGTGAACAGTACACGATGACTTAAGTATTATTTCAATTTTGTTAAGTATATTTAATATATAAGTAGATCTATTTCTCAAATGTGTAGTTCTCTATCTATAACTCAAGTACCGTTAAGTAAGGGGGACAAAATTTCATTTATAAATATTAAATAGAATACGCATGTATCTATCAAACAATGTCCAATAGATTTGAAAAGCTGGTTCCAAATTTTTGTTGCTAAAAAGCATATTTTTCCACCAAAATTGAATAGTTTATAACATTTGTGTAATAAGTACAAAATAACTTCCGTTTTCATTAAGCTTAGAAAGAGGAGTCAAAGAAATAATTAGGCCTACTTGTAATATAATAGTAATTTAACAAACACTTTTATTTTTAATTTGGATTAGTAGAGTGGGTGTGTTGTGGAGATTAGGGATGTCATATTATATTATTTGATTTTAAATACAATACTACTCTTTACACCATAGATCAATACTGTGTATTTTTATCACGGAAAACAATTGTTCTGACTTTTATTGTTTTACTCTCCTTGGCCATTCCGGTTGACTTCAATGAGAGGTTGTGGGCAGTTTTTGAAAATATTTGAATTGATAAAATAAATCTAAACGGCTTTTAAACGACTTATATTCGATAAAAATGATTGTAATCGATGGTTCCCACATGGTTGCTAAACCGAAAAGACTCGAGTTCGAACCCTCGGGCAGATGAGACTCGTTAGCTGGGGACAGCCACTCTTCTAGCAGAGACAACTCCAAAATCAAACTGCTGCTGCCTTGTAGTTTGTTCTTGGTTGGACAAAGGCTATGGAAGCAAATCCAAAAAAAAAGAAAAGCAGGCTGAAATCGGAGTCAATGGCCTCAATGGCGCAAAACCAGTTGACACGTAATCCTTAATTGTGATGGAAGCATGGTCGAGTCGGCAAAGCTCATGGTTGATAAATTCGAAAAAAAAGTGTTGAGTTCAACCCTCTGGCAGATAAGGCTCGATCCCTCCCAACACTAAAAATTAAGAACGAAGAAGAAGAAGAAGATGGTTCCCAAACGGCTTTAATTTTTACAAGTCTAACTATAATTTTATCGTTTGCCATATTTAAAAATATTTTTCAAATATTTATATGCTTACATAGACTTTTCATGCCTATTAACGGAAGTGGTACTCTAATATCGTGGAAATACGATAACTTGAAAACAGTTTCATTTAGGTAAACGAAATTTCAGATACAAGTATTAAATTTAATAAACGTTTCCCTTTCAAACATGACGGTCTATGGGGTAAATGAAGTAGAGTTCACTTGTTTCTGTGACCTCTGCATATGAAGAAATATTTTTAATTAATTAATTCAATTTAATACTTGTTTTATTTTCAATTTTTCAGTGACTTCCGATCTATGGAAGTTGTACTTTAGTTGTGGTATCTAAAATATCGATAATACAAGTACCATTTCAGGTAGATGGACGAAATTTCATACAAAGGTTAAAGATCTTATTCACTGGTTTCTTTCAAATTTGGAGAGATTTCCGGTGACAGGAAGTATTCAATAACGGTAACAACAGTAGCCATGGAGGCCTTTTTTTTCACAGTGGCCGTTTAAAAAAAAAAACCCGTAATAACAGCATTGTGATAAAAAGCAAAGGAGTAGTAAACACATAGCAGTAACATAGCATTCAAAGATTTGGAATAAAGAAATAATATTACATAGCTATAGTACAAAATGAGGTAGAATGATAATATAATAGATGAATGGGAAATGTAGCAAAGAGTCAGTTAAGGAGGTCATTAAATAGTTGTTGTTTTGGTTTAGTTTAGAATATATTTTCAGATATTATAGATAGTTTTATTTTAATACTGAGATTGTTCCACAAATTACAACCAGAGTAGTCGAGGCTAGGCTTTTGGAAAAAAACGTTGTATACGGGATAGGTAAGCTAAGACGACGATTTAATTTTGTGTTTAAAATAAACCGGGAGTGATCTCCCCTAAACTTTCTCGAATATTCTTATCTATATATATAATTCTCTTCTGGGAGCCGTTAGAAAACAAGCTGCAAGCGCGCCTTTGCAGTCCCCTCTCTTCCTCTCTATCGCTCCCCCCCACCCCCCCACCCCCCCCCCCCCACCACCACCCCTACATGGCCTGGTGAGTTGTAGTTCACTCTAAATGTTTACATTTTACAATCATAGAGCCGGGTTTGGTGACGGCTATTAGGGGCAGATAATTTAGTTTGAAACGATTTTAAAATTAGAGGAGGTAACTAAGAGGAGGCTGCTTTCACGGGGGGGGGGGGTAGTGTTTTAAAGCACGTATTTTCAGTGGTAGCATTGGTACTGTCGAATTCACAAATTATGAATTACTGAAAAGTAGAACAAAAAACAACTAAATAGCGGCGTATGATATGCCGCGGGTCGGCTCGTATAAAATAACAGGGGATGGGAACTCGGGCTATAGACATGATTTTTAATCCATTTTAACACGTTTTTATTAACTCAGCTTCGCGTGTGTTTGTTGTTAAAATTGACATCGAAAATTAGCCCACTTCTGATTGCTCAATAGATCTGAAATTTGGCATGTAGGCTACTTTTGCCTAACAATTTCAGATGCAATCATAAAAACTAGCAATTAGAGACCGTAATTAGCTTAATTTAATTACGCCCCAAGGACCATAAAATTGAGGACATGATTTCTAAAGATACCGACAAGACTGGAGGCCTATTGACACAGTTACTTCGGCCCCAATCGATGTGAGCGCGCTGGCCGTGATCGTATAGTGGTTAGTACTTCGCGTTGTGGCCGCGACAACCCAGGTTCGAATCCTGGTCGCTCAAGATTTTTTTAGTCCGTGTATTTATAAACACTTAGTCAAGTCATACTTAATCAAGTCATTAGATATAGTAGAAAATAAACTATATAAAAAACTTTTTTAAAAACCACGTTTTTCATGTGTAGCAACGGACTAAAAAGGAGAAAATAAAATACTTAAAAAAAACTTTTTAAAAAACCACGTTTTTCTTGTGGACTAAAAAGTAGAAAATAAATTTTCATACATTTGATGACAAAAAACGTGGGTCGGGCAGATGGGTCGGGAAATTTGATGGTGAACGTACCCACGTTTTTTAAATACTTAAAGTTTTAAAAATAGAATAAAATCTCGTAGAAAAAAGATTGCACACCAAGTGAACGCCAAATAAAAAAGTGCATAATAGCGCGCAATATTATTAGTACTTTAAAGATTTACATTAGTTTTTTGAGAAATCGGAAGTAGCGTAAATTAGTACTTCCGGGCAACGGAAATTACTCAAAATTTGACAGAAGGTAGAGAATTAGATCTTATACTTACATGTGAAATTTCATTTATCTATCTGACAATAGTACTCAAGTTATAGGCTTTTGAAAAATTCAAAGTAGAAAAAGTACCACTTCCGGTTATCGGAAATCGCTCAAAAGTTGATACGGTTCTACGATTTTGATAAAATACTTATATATGAAATTTCATCAACCTAGCTGTAACGGTACTCAAGTTATCGTGTTTACACACGGACAGACACACACACACAGAGACATACGGACAGAATTGCAAAGCCCAGTTTTTCAGACTGGATTACGCATAAAAACCTCTTAATTTTGATAAATCTAGATTGATAATTTTTGCCCGATTAAAATAAGTCCTCTATACTTCGGATGTGATGAAGGACTGAGGTGTAATACGGTGAAAATTGTTAAAATTTCAATTGATTTTTGTGCACGATTACAATACTTTCTCTATACTTCGTATATACGAGAAAGTAAAAATAGGTTTGATAAGAAGTAGAATTTAACGTTATTTCCCTTTTATCAAAAATAATATGAACGTATTTTTATTACAAACTTTTATTTAACTTACTGTCTATGTCTATCTGTCGTCAGTCTAGATCGGAACAGCCGAGCGAAATTTCAGGCACTTCTAACTGACAGATTCGGTTTTAAGTTGGCACGTGGGTCAAAACATGAAGACAATGCGATCTGACATTAAATTTGACTTAATTGTGTCTAATTAATTTTTTATGAATTTAATAAAATTCTGTACAAATTAGTAGGCAGTCGTATCCAACTATTCCGCACTATTATAAGCGTGGGTCTATTCCTAAATATTTGTAGAGGTATCCAATAGATAATAAAGTGACCCACGCTTTTCTTTATAGATTTTAAATAGTAGTGTTTAATTTATTTTCTACTTTTTAGTGCATTATTACATAAAAGCTTGTTATTAAAACGTTTTTTATGATTTTTTTTTAGGCCTAGGGTTCTTTATTGGCGGAGTGTTGCTAGAAAAATCTGAAAGGGGAAAGCAGATTTTATTGTTTGGAAAAGTAAAACAGATATTATTGTTTAGAAGGGTAATGCAGATATTATTGATAGCAAGTAGACAAAACTGCCAACAATAAAGTTTTTTTAGCCGCCGATACCCCCACCCGCCCCCTCCACCCTCAGCCCCCTGTTTTACTGGTCAAATGAGTTGAACAGATATCGCCATAGTGTCTGACTTATGATACCATGCATGACAATATATTTAAAATTATGTGGGGGGGGGGCAGGGGGGGGGACATATGTTCCCGGACGCCAAAATGGGTTGGAAAAAGTAATCGAAAGTTTGAGGAGGGTGGAAATCAAAAGTTTGTGGGGGGTGCAAATCGAAAGCTTTAGGGGGGGGGGTGCAAATCAAAAGATTGAGGGGGGATGCAAATCAAAAGTTTGAGGGGGGTGCAAATCGAAAGTTTGAGGGGAGGGGGTGCAAATCGAAAGCTTGTCCCCGGGCACCGGGAAGGGTCTCTACGCCTCTGCGCATACTTACAAGATCTCAGTGTGCTGATCACAGGGAGACTGTTTATGTATTTTTGGAACCTCTGATTTGTTTTACAAAAGTGCATTTTATTTATTGGTGTAACCTGGTCCTTCTAGGTGCGGAATACGGTAAAGATACTTACAATTGATTTCGTAGCTTACCTTCCACGTATTAAGCTTCAGCTCTCTACACTGTCACACGATGGATGGGGAGAATGTTAAAACGCGGATTTTTATAAAATAGACAAAAAATATAATAGTAAGGGATGGAGCTTAAAACTAGTTTGGCGCCCCCACAGGTCGACTTCAGGTGCGGCTATCCCGCCCACCCACCATCACCATTTCCAAATACACATTCATTTGAAAAAGGGTTGTTGTTTTTTTTTTCTCAAATTCATATTTACTAGTAGAGTTACGATTTTTTTTTAAACACATTTAGAGGAAAAGTTATTTCTTTATTTCAATTACGCGTTCAAAAAGTCAGATTATTCCGAATTGTCTCTTATTGGAAAAAAATAGGTTATAGTGAAAAATAAATGTATCCTAAATTACCATTCTTGGGAAAATTTAAAGAGAAGATAAGATTGTCTTCATAGTTTGTTCGATTTCCCAGTTAAATAGTTTAAAAAAGAATTGTTCTATTTGACAAGCTAAAAAAGATTTGGTCTTTTGCCTAGTTTAAAAAGATTTGGTCTGCTTGGCTAGTTTAAAAATTATTTGATCTGTTTGCTTAGTTTAAAAATATGTGATCTCATTGCCTAGTTTAAAAAAAAATTGGTCTGTTTGCCTAGTTTAAAAATATATGGTCATTTAGCCTAGTTTAAAAAGATTTGGTCTGCTTGGCTAGTTTAAAAATTATTTGATCTGTTTGCTTAGTTTAAAAATATTTGATCTCATTGCCTAGTTTAAAAAAAAAGTTGGTCTGTTTGCCTAGTTTTTAAAAAGTTGGTCTGTTTGCCTAGTTTTTAAAAAGTTGGTCTGTTTGCCTAGTTTTTAAAAAGTTGGTCTGTTTGCCTAGTTTAAAAAGCTATTGTTTCCCGGAACAGATCCGGCCTAAATGTCGCCGAGTCAGACAGAGACGAGACAAGACGATGGTATTTACCTTTGCACTAACTGGTTCATATCATCCTCATAGCCGCCAGACCAGAAGCGTTTCTCTAACTGGCCACTGACGTCGTTGACTGGTGGTGGTAGGAAAGGGTTAGGGTTCGAATCTCGGACTGGACTGTTGACGGGAAGAAGGAGAATCCTCTTCCCCATATTCTGGCAGCCACCGTAGCCGTTACAGAAGAGTTTTTTAAATCTTGTCGGCAACTCCGCGTCCGACCCGTCTCTCCATGTGACGTCATCGCCCAGTTCTGAAGGGATTTCGCTAATCCTCTTGCCGCCGTTGTTACAACCGTAAGAGTTACAAAATGGACGTTTGCTGACTTTCGGGTGCTGTAACCGCTTTCTTACTTCTGCTGCATTCTTTTGGCGCCTTCTGCCCCTAAATCGACCGCCACAACCTGAGAATCCGTTGCAAAAAACTCGCTTGTCTTCCCGTAGAGCGCCGCTGTCTTGTAGACTGCCGTCTGCATCGGAGAGGAATTTGCCCTGGAGAATGGCCTCAAGGCGGTGCTGGCTGGCCTGGGGTAGGTCATCGAGTCTGGCCGGGTGGCTGGTCCGTTGTTTCACGTCCTCGTCTGTGGTCAGGTGCAGCTGAAAGGTTAAGTCAAATAACTGTCAGTGGACACGGGCAGCTAAATGTTTAAATTAAAATAACCGTCAATAGACAGGGGCAGCTAAAAGTTTAAATACTGTCACTGGACAAGTGCAGCTGAAAGGTTAAATCAAATAACTGTCAGTGGACAGGGGCAGCTAAAATTATAAATAACTGTCAATAGACAGGGGCAGCTAAATGTTGAAATAACTGTCAATGGATATGGGCAGCTAAAGGTTTAAATCCAATAACTGTCAGTTGCTAAAGCTTAGCAAAAAAAGGTCTGTCTTTAAAAAAAAATATTGAAATCGTATATACAAGCTTATAAGCTTGACTCCCGCAGTAAGAAAACAGCGTCAGATTTCAGCTTAAGCTCATCACAAACATTTGTTGCTAATGTCATGAATCGATGTAGCCTACTACATATATAAAGCAGTTTCCTACTCTTTTTTTCTGGCACTGGTACCGGTTGCTGGACCTGAAGCCTCGGCAGGGGTCCCGTGAATAGAGTACACTGAAATATGCCGAGCGGCCTCTAAGTCCTAGAGTAGGGCGGGGGTGGGGTGGTGACCGTGAGTGTCCACCGCATAATAAAATTTACCCAAAAACTGACCGCGAGTGACCAACACATCAAATATATCCAAAACTGACCGCGACTGACCAACATATCAAATCTATCCAAAACTGACCGCGACTGACCAACACATCAAATCTATCCAAAACTGACCGCGAGTGACCGCCGCATTATCAAATCTATCCAAAACTGACCGCGACTGACCAAAACATTATCAAATCTATCCAAAACTGACCGCGAGTGACCGCAGCATTATCAAATCTTTCAAAAACTGACCGCGACTGACCAACACATCAAATCTATCCAAAACTGACCGCTAGTGACTACCGCCTCTGAGAAGCCTATATAAATTTAAAAAGTTACCCACAACATCCAGTACAATTTGAGGAGGTCGAAGACTGAAGCCAAGCAATACTCTAAAAAAAACAATGTCGCATTTGTGTCGATAAATTCCGTGTTACAAGGTAACATTTTTAAAAGCTTGCACCAAAATAATTTGTTCGGCTGTGTTGTATTACTCTGGACTGTGAGATTACAACAATGTCCATTCAACAATCTATTTAACGCTTCTGTAGGTCTAAGACCAGTATTTAATCAATTTGTTTCAATCTGTTAGATGTACTATAAAAAGCTTTCAAGATCGGTGAATATTGTATAATTTTTCCACCAATTAATTCAGTTTGTCTAACAAGACCTACAGATAGACTTATCCAGCCTAAAGATGGAACAATTATTTATCTACGGGTTTATTTTCTTACTATTTTTGTATTCTACATAATATAACCTGTCAGTATTTTTTCATTGAAAATCGGTTTCAAAAAATTAATTAATTAAGGATCACGGGGGTAGGTCAGATAGAGTTTATCTGATTCCGTGACCTTGACATCCGGGGGTAAAGTGGGATATGCTAGCTTACCCAGTCGCCTTTGCTTACCTTAAGTTATGTACCCACCTGGGCTGGGTGAACACGCCCCCCCCCCCATTCACACATTCTTAATGTCTTAGCGAGTCGTGTAGTGTAGTGGGGACAGTGGCAGCAGGGACCTTAGGCCAACTTAGCATGTTTATCATAAATTTGAAATATTTAAAAATAGATTTATACTCATTTAATTGTATTGTTTATTTATTTAACGCTTTATTTGTTTGTAACGAGCAGAAACAGTGCAATATATCAAACACATGCACGTTTTACCATTAGAAGCTTTGATTTAACTAATTTGATTCATTCGTCATGGTTAAATTAGCGCGCAAGTTTTTAACGATGCGATTTTCAATTCATTATAGCAAAACCTAAGAACCACAGAAAATGTAGTATATGCAGTAAATAGGAGCAATAAAATGATTATACTTAGATATAATAATGCATTATTATTTAAATAATTTTTAATGAAAGTGTAAATTGCTCATAAAATTGTATTAATGAAATTGAGTTGTATATAAATATTACTTTTATTAATGTTAGCAGTATTTAAAAAACCGGAGCACTTATATATATGAGTTGAATAGAGTGTGTTGGCTTTTTATAGTGAGATAGGCCTACAATATTTTCAATTTTTTCCTATACACAATAGAGCACATCAGTACTCAGACACGGTCACCAAACGCAAGAATTAAAATTTATTACCAACTGAACTCCATTTCAAAACGTGTATGTGCGACCCACGCAGATATTTATTGTATGCGCGACCCACGCCTGAATGTATTGTTATAGTTGCATTATTATGTTTAAAGATCATCATTTTTACATAAAAGCTTGTTGTTAAAACGTTTTTTGTGAATTTTTTACAAGCTTTTATTACAAGCTTTTATTTAACTCAATGTCTCTGTCTAGATCGAAACGCCCGAGCGAAATTTCAGGCACTTCTAACTAACAAATTCGTCTCAAAGTTGGCACGTGGGTCAAGAAATGAAGGAAAAGCAATCTTACATTCAATTTGACTTAACTGTTTTTTTTTAATTAATTAAATTAATTATTATTTTTATGAATTAATTAAAATTTTGTCTAAATTAGTAGGCAGTCATACCCAACTATATACACGCGTTATCAAGTGTATTAGGTGCGCAATGGTTTTTAGCCATAAACTCATTGTAAATTTTTAAAATGTAAAATACTGAAAAAAATCATTAAAAAGTTTTAATAACAAGCTTTTATGTAATAATGCACTAAAAAGTAGAAAATAAATAAATGTCTAAAATATATAATAATACACTACTATTTAAATAACTATAAAGAAAAGCGTGGGTCGCTTCCTAAATTAGTAAAAGTATCCAGTGGATAAATGCTTTTCTTTATAGTTATATAAATAGTAGTGTATTATTACATATTTTAAGAAATTTATTTATTTTAGTGCATTTCTACATAAAAGCTAGTTATTAAAACGTTTTTTTATAAATTATTTTTATATTTGTGACGCATATGTAGAAACGTTTTTATATGTACTTTTTTATCTTACCACCAAACAGAGTTCTATTAATATGCCATTTCTGTATTTACTGTGTGTAAAAACCCGTTTATTTGACGATTCATACGAAAGGCATTGTGAAAATATTAAAGCATTTTAATCAAGTATGCGACATTCATTAGTGGCAGGTATGTGACTTGGTCAAACTAAGCCTAGTCCACAATTGCACCACAAGTATTCTAAATTAACTAAAGTATCTACATACATATATGTATAAAAAAATTCGTGTAAACTAAGACATACATAAATTTCGTGTAAACTAGGACTTACAGTATTGAAGAACTCGCCCGGCTCCTGTGTGAGGACTATTGGTAGCAAGATGTTGAGGGACCACATGAGAAACACGGATGTACAATAGGCTGGAGACATTTTACAAAGGTTCTACAAGAGTTGGTGGCTGACAGTCTTAGTGTGCCTGACAAACGTTCTACAAGAGTTGGTGGCTGACAGTCTTAGTGTGCCTGACAAACGTTCTACAAGAGTTGGTGGCTGACAGTCTTAGTGTGCCTGACAAACGTTCTACAAGAGTTGGTGGCTGGCAGTCTTAATGTGCCTGGATGAGAAAAATAGGAGCGTCACCAAACAGAATCCATTTCAGACATCAACAAAAAAACATGGCACATATATATTTACATACAGTTTTGAATTATTGCTTCTTTAGTTTATAAAGTGTAGAATGTGTGACGTTCAGCGGGCCATCTCATGTAGCGGGTAGCAAGCATATGTGGCCGAGTCCCCGTTAACTATGGCGGTTTCTTGTCTGAGACGCATTAGAAAACAAGTCTATATTTAACTTAATGCAGCTGCTTAGAGAAACGTTATCCTTAGTAATCTTTCCAATTGTGTGGGGGAATGGAATCAATTCGAAAAACATTTCTTCCTGAGATGGGCGAGAAAATGTCAGCACTAATTGGCAAATGCACATCTACATCGTTATAAATACAAATATTTCACACAACAAACAGAATCTTAGTTTAAAAACGATCCGACTAACTTTTACCATTGTAAAAAACATACCAAAGCTATTTGCAACCATAAACGTAAACAGTTTTTACAGCGCGAAATATACGTCTTTTGTGTAAAGTTCTTTCCACATTATACAAACACACACACTCACGCATATATATATATATATATGTATGTATATATATATATATATATATATATATATATATATATATATATATATATATATATATATATATATATATATATATATAATTGAAATATTCTTCCCTAATGTATGTCCTGATGAAACTCTACAAAGTACTCAGCTTACGTGTGAAGCACAGTTTAGCACCCGGAGCTTGATGCTAGCGGCCAGACTCGTATGGTGAAACTAGAAGGAAGTGACGTCAAAAAGCGCTCCTCTACCTACGTCAATTGATTTTTTTATCTGCGCAGCGTCGTGTATTGTTGGACAATAAGAAAATGTTTTAGCGCTGATAATTAGAAAATTACCGGTAATTAAAATTGAAAATTTACCTAAGCGGAGGTGAGAAATGTTCCAGGTGAACTTTAGGCCTGCTCCAGCGGCCGGTTATTTATGGAAATCACGTGATATTTTGCGCAATAACTGAAACAGGGTTTTTAAAAACTTGTCTAAAAGTTGTTTTCATTGTCATGGCACGCGCAAACCACGCGGTGCTGTCGTCGGATTGGACAAACGGTGTTGGCGTTGTTGTGTTATCTGTTCCTAAAGGTTACGAGGATCGCTCCCTGCTCCACTAGTTAATATTTTAGCACCTTCGCCCCAACTCGCTCGTCCAATCGCCATCTTTCTCTTCTAATCTCCGCGGAGCAGTTTTTGTACGGAGCGGCAAACAGCTAGGAAAACTATTCAAACGCTTTGTTAATTATAACTTGTCCAAACGGGCCACTATTTAGCCAACATCAAGTTTGCTTAGTTTGGCTGAACTCATAAAAACGTATCTATTTATAAACTGAGTATCTAGCGTGTGGTACATATAATGCAGGGGTATTGACGTTCGGGGCTGTACTGATATCACTAAGAGAATAAAGCGAAATAGAATGTACAGTTACCGTTCTTGATGGGTTATCTCCCTGTATGCTTGACTTGGTCTTTACAAGTTTGAAAGTCGCGTGGTGAGGTAGATTTTTTTGTTCATCACTGACTTCACATCATTCTTAACTCCATTCGTTTGTTGTCAACTAAAAATTCCTAAAAAAAACCGAAGAAATCCTTCTGGTGGCCGCTGTTCCCTCGCCGTCTCTTGGACAGGCCCTATTTATGCTGGCTCTCTATGGAGCCCCCCCCCCATGCTGACAGCCACACCCATGCGGCGAGCATGGTACCATCCACTCAAAGGCCTCCCCTCTATAGATAGACTCGGCCAGCTGTACATCCGGGCATCCTCACCAGTCACAGTTGTGGGGAACGTTCCAGATGTTTGATCAGTTGTGTGCAACTGGTTGGTGAGCTGTGCTCATTTGATTTTCAGGACTAATTCGTACTCAGCATATCATTTGTATTGACATAACTTGTACCGGCTAAACTTTTACCCAATAAAACGTGTACCCAACACTAAATTATACCCTTCATAAAACCTGTACCCAACAAAACTTGTACCCAACACAACTTGTACCCAACAAAACTTGTACCCAACAAAATTTGTACCCAATAAAACTTGTACCCAATAAAACTTGTACCCAACACAACTTGTACCCAATAAAACTTGTACCCAATAAAACTTGTACCCAATAAAACTCGTACCCAACAAAACATGTACCCAATAAAACTTGTACCCAATAAAACTTGTACCCAATAAAACTTGTACCCAACAAAACTTGTACCCAACAAAATGTGTACCCAATAAAACTTGTACCCAACAAAACATGTACCCAACAAAACTTGTACCCAACAAAATGTGTACCCAATAAAACATGTACCCAACAAAACTTGTACCCAACAAAATTTGTACCCAACACAAAACGTTTACCCGACAAAACTTGTACCCAACAAAATGTGTACCCAACAAATCTTGTACCCAACAAAATTTGTACCCAACACAAAACGTTTACCCGACAAAACTTGTACCCAACACAAAACGTGTACCCAACAAAACTCGTACCCAACAAAACGTGTACAGAACAAAACTTGCATCCAACAAAACTAGTACCTTATTTAAAAAACTTTTACTGTAACAGAGACGCACGAAGGTGGGGGGGGGGGTGGCGTGGCTGCTATTGGGGCCATTTTTCGGTCAGTCACATTTTCGGAAATTAGTTCTGATAAAATGTATAACTAATTCTAGACACAAAAAATTGTTCCCATCTTACAGAATCAACAAACTTAAAACAGTTAAAAAATATTTTTAAATGGTCCAGTTTATGTCATGTAAAAATATATTTAAATGGTCCAGTTTATGTCATGTAAAAATATTTTTTTAATAACTAGTTGAGCGCTGTTTCTTCATGAGGGTCACTTGACCATTTGTATACCCGATGTTTACGTAAATCACAGATCGACATTACTATTGTAATAATAATTATTATTATTATTGTTATTGTTATTTTTATTACTATTTCAGCAGGTTGTTAAACAATAACCTTTAAGAACGCAATCAAGAGCCGCCAGTACAAATGAGATAATGGTGTGAAATGAGATAATGTTGTGTAAAACGGAAATGTGGGGATGCAGCGTGTCAAAGTGGAGGTGTGAAACCATTTTGTAGCTTTCCAAAATCGAGGCCGATTTAGTTTCGTAGTTCGGTTATATTTTAAAGTAAATTCCATAAAGGAACTCTATACCATTTTTGGTTTATGAACATCTTTCATGATTTGAATTATAGAAATATATTAGAATTTTTTTTTTTAATTTGAAAAAAAATATTTGAAAATAAAATCCAAACTGCTTTTTCCTATATAGATCTACTAGTTAGCAAAACGAAAACTATTTTATATAATAGGATTCGAAAAGATAATTAAAATGTGGATACAGATTTACGGAACTGTACTATAAACGATATTTATTATTACTTCATCGGCGCCATTGAATCTTTTAAATATTACAATAAGTGAAAATAAAATTTACATTACAAGGATTAAAAAATCGGTTGTGTTTATCTGGTTTTGTGTTTTGACCTGTTTTCTATTGTGTTTTGCACTATATATATATATATATATATATATATATATATATATGGCGCATTTTTTGACTAGCCGATCTACTACCCCAAAAACTAGCATACACCCCCGCTTGTACACAAAACGTGTACACATCACAAAACTAGTACCTTACACAAAACTTGTACCTTAAATAAAATGTATACCCAACAAAAAAGTTGCAACTAAAAACAGAAAAGCAGAAATGAAACATTTCACAGCAAATGTGCTTACCTACAAACAAATAGTTCTATTTTAAAGTAGCTTGTCTTGTGCTACACAAAAATTATTCTCTTTTAAAGATGCAGCTAACATTTGCTCTCAATGGTAGACGTTATCGGTTTAGTAGATATAGGGAGCGGGTGGAGGTGGGGGTGGGGGGGTGACATGACGACATACTCTTGTGTTTTATTTTTCAAGTTAGTTCATTTTTTTTTTCTTCTGAGAACTCTACTATGTCCTAGGCCGATACGTCATGTTTGTTTTGTTTATTTTTTAAGTTAGTTCACTTTTTATTTCTTCTGAGAGCTCTACTATATCCTAGGCCGAAACGTCATGTTTGTTTTGTTTATTTTTTCAACGGAAGATCCGCCATGTGATGTCTAAACAAGCTAATTAAAAAACGACAAAATGATCATTAAGTCATGCGACCAGCCCTGGATGAAGAATTCATGAAATCACTTGTCCCACGACTTTCAAAATGGCGGCACGCTCATGAATGGCACATCGCGTTCATTTATTCATCGCAACATTTGCGTTTCTCTTGTTTGACTTTTTTTTTTGGTTGACGTTCTTTTCGTCTCTTTTGGTGCAGGGTATGTTGTGTTTTTAATTTATCGAATACAGAGTATAGAGAAAGTATTGTACTCGTGCAGTACAGTTAAATGAAGTTTTAATAGTTTTCGCAGTTTTACACCTCCCACACTGTATCGTATACGGAATATAAAAGATGAATTGTAATTGGGCAAAAATGTACATAGATATTATGACAATTTTTTACGTTTTATAACGTTCCAGAGCCGGAAAACTCAGTTTTGCCATCCTGTCTGTCTGTATGTGAGTCTGTAAATCAGTGGCGTAGGCAGGGGGGGTTATATATATAAAGTATGAGGGGGGTGCAAATCGAAAGTTTGACGAGGGAGGAGGTGCAAATCAAAAGTTTGAGGGGGGGTGCAAATCGAAAGTTTGGCCCCGGGTAAAAATTTGAACCCCCCCCCCCACCCATTGAGACTATCCTGGCTACGCTACTGCTGTAAATACAGTATTTTGGGTACCTTTTCAGTTATGGTGACCATATTTTATATATTGGTGTTAAATCAAATTCGTAGTTTTATTTCAGCTTTTGAGCGATTTCCCGTAACCACGAGTGATACGTACTCAACTTTCGGTCTCTCAAAAGCTGATAACATGAGTAGTATTAACGCTCGGTAGATAAAATTTAAAATATTAGTATTAGATTGTGTACGAAGGTTTCTTTTAAATTTTGTACACTTTCCAGTTACCGGAAGTGGTATGTTGTTATATTCCATTGCGAACACGATAGCTTGAAAACTTTGTCTTCAAAATAGACGAAATTTTATATTTATACTAGGCATGCTGCCCTACTTCGCTTAGGCTTTCGAAAACATTGATAATTTGAATGCTTAATCAATTCGCCCGAGGGTCGGTCTACGACCTCAGGAGTTATAAAGAGGTTCCTACGTGGAAATTATTTTTGTATTTATAGCTCATATAAGGCGCCGGTCAGCCCCTCATCGTAGACTTTTCGGCCAACCGGCCCCCGTGTTCTGTCGCCCCAAGGCAAGATCCTGTCCAAATTTGAAGCGCCTGCGGCGCCGGGAAGTACCCTATCGGGCACCCGACAACTTTGCTTTATATATTATAGAGATTAGCAAATTGCATAGATAAACAAAGATTTCAATAAGGTATTTCAGGCCTGAAATACTTTAGTATAGAAATGTATTAGTTGAATAGATTCTAGATCTAGGTAGGGTCTACATCTGTGTAAGTCTAGTTTTTCCGTAGATCTAGATCATCTAGATCTAGAATCTCTAGATCTAGAATCCTAATAGAATTTTTTTTAAGTTTAGCCCGAGCAAAATTGTATTGTATAAATTTTATAGCGTACGTAGATCTAATTCAAATTTGAATGAAATAGTTTATTTCTTTTTATTCTGAACACGGCAGATGACGTCATTAGTTAATGTATAAACATTAGTGACGTCACTGTTTTATGCATTCTTTTTCACACCTATAAACGCTTTTCCTGTTGCATAATTAAAACTGTTTCTCTACATTCGAATACAACTTTATTTTTTATTTTTCTTCTTTAAATAAAATTGTGGTTATACATTTAAAACATCTAACATATTATTTTCAACAAAAGTCCGTATAAAGGTATCCATATATCGCTGCCGATTCTGACGTGATATACGGCGAAAATATTTTGCGGACAGACAGAGAGAGAGAAGTGCGCACGTGGTCTTTTATATATTAGGATATATATATATATATATATATATATATATATATATATATATATATATATATATATATATATATATATATATATATATATATAAACATAAGCTCTAATTCTTTTTAAATTTTTTTTCAATTTTTGAGTGATTTCCAGTGGCCGTAAGTAGTACTTTAGAGTATTTCTTATTCCTCAAAACATCACTTCTACCGGACTGATTTGGTACAAACTTTCTTTGTAAAGTACTTTAAGTTTCCGCTCAATTTCGCACAAAATGAATGCATTCATTTGGTGAGTGACTCTTGTTTCTACTCGATTATATTTTTTTAAAGTAAGAATTAAAAATTAATAAAATAAAACGTTTATATAGCCATATTGTGCACTCTCCCTAATTGTTATATAAATATATAGAAAAGATAGTATTATATATACAATATATTTAAGAATATACGAGAAAACTGAGGGAAGACCACTTCCTCTTTAATTTAATATGACATTCTTTTTATGTATCTTTTGGAGCCATGTTGTTGTCTTTTTTATGTTTTTATCAGCTAACCAACTTTAATCGACCGAAACTTTTGTTTACCAAACGTCCCCAACAGTTGTCAAAATCTTTCTTTTGACGATTAACTTGTCTTCGCCCTACATATC